GCCGAGATCGCGCCATTGCACTCCAGCCTGGGTAACATGAGTGAAACTCCATCTCAAAAAAAAAAAAAAAAAAAAAAAAAAGGCTGAGAATACCAAATGTTGGCAGAGATGTGGATAGAAAAACTATACATCTCAATCAAGATTGAGATGGACAAATGTATACATTTATCATGTAAATTATATTTCAATAAAGTTGATTAAAAAAAAGTAGCTCATAGCATCACTTTTAAAAACAATCCCTATTTGAATCATGGGTTGAATATATAGATCTTAGGGTACTGGCCCTGTCCTTGCTGGCTTGAGGTGGCTACCTTCATTATAACCATTTCCTTTTTTATTTTCTGTTTTTACATACCCACTGGAGAGCAAGTGAAGTGGAAATAGTAGTAACATATTGTTTTTGCTATTTAGAATATGATAAAAGTTTTAAAGAGGAGGAGCATATATGGCAATCAAGAGAGGTATATAATGAACTTTCATGTAACCAGCACCCAGATTAAACAGTTATCAATTCATGGCCTGTCTTGCTTCATTTGTTCATATGCTCATACATACTACGTATTTTGAAGCCAATCCCAGATACCATGTCATTTCGTATGTAAATGTTTCTGCTATTTAGCTCTAAAAGATACTCTTTTTAGCATAACTACAGTACTGTTATCACAACAAATAAAAAGAATATGAAATACTCAGTGTTCATATTTCCTCAGTTATATTCTTTTTTTTTTTTTTTTTTTTTGAGACAGTCCTGCTCTGTCACCCAGGCTGCAGTGCAGTGGTGTGATCTTGGCTTACTGCATCCTCTGCCTCCCCAGTTCCAGTGATTATCCTGCCTCAGCCTCCCAAGTAGCTGGGATTACAGGCTCATGCCAGCACACCCAGCTAATTTTCTTATTTTTAGTAAAGATGGAGTTTCACCATGTTGGCCAGGCTGGTCTTGAACTTCTGACTTCAGGTGATCTGCCCACCTCGGCCTCCCAAAGTGCTAGGATTACAGGCGTGAGCCACTGTGCCCAGCCTATGTCCTAATTTTTTATAGTGTGTTCAAATTAGGATCTCCATCATATCTATATCTTCCAAATGATTGAAATGTTTTTTGTCTCTTTTAATCTGTTTTCCCCTCCCTCTTTTTTCTTCCTTCCAATTTTATATGCCTGTGCTGTCCTTTAACATATTCTTCTGCCCTCCTGGTTTACTGTAAATTGGTAATTGGTAGGTCTGAAGGTTTGATAGGATTATGAGGTCTGTCTGTCTGAATTACTGTCATGAGTATTCCATAAGTAGAATGTGAAGTGTAGAAAGTAGAATTGTGTCAGCATGCTAATTCTGCCACACACCGCACTAGACACTAGAGGTATAAAGAAGTGAACAAAACAGAACAAAATCTCCTGCCCTTATAGATTTTGATATTCTAGTATATATTTTCCTAAACCTTCAACCCTCTCCATTTTGCTTTCTTCTTGGGTTATAACCAAGTCCAACACTTTATTTTCTTTTTTTTTTCATGGTTTTGCTCTGTTGTACAGGCTGAAATGCAGTGACACAAACAGGGCTCACTGCAGCCTCAACCCCCCCGGCACAAAGTGACCCTCCTACCTAAGCCTCCTAAAGAGCTAGGACAGCATGTGTCACCATGCCTGGCTAATTTTTTTCTTTTTCTTTTTCTTTTTTTTTTTTTTTTTTTTTTTTGTAGAAACAAAGTCTCACTTAGTTGCCCAGGCTGGTCTCGAACTCCTGGGCTCAATCGATCCTCCTGCATCAGCCTCCCAAAGTGCTGGGATTATAGGCGTGAGCCACAGCACCCGGCCCAACATTTTACATATTTTCTTGCCAATGCTTTCAGCTCCCTTGCCCTCTGCTTTGTAATCACATCCATCTCAGTGCCGGCTATCTGCTTTCTTACTACCTACTCCTGAGCGCAGGCACGCAGTACTCAGTGTTTGTGATGTTAGGCACTACGACAGATTGTTCCCACCTGTTCTGTATGGGTATCTCCCCAGCATTCCTGTGTTTCACTGGGAACCTCATGCCCCCACTCTTTCCAACAACTTCTTTTCGCAAATCCTGCTTTCTCACAAATGAGAAATAACCTCAATTCCTAACAAATAACCTAAATTCCCAATATCCAGAAAAAAACCCGTAATAATAATTCACATTTACTCTACACCAAGCTCTTCTAGGTATTTTACATTACTAACTTAGTGAACCCTTCTAATAACCCTAATACAGGCCTAACACTTGGACTAGTGCCAAGCATATAGTAAGTGCTTAGTGATATTTGTTTTTTGAGACAGTCTTACTCTGTTGCCCACGCCAAGGTGCAGTGGCACAATCACAGCTCACTGCAGCCTCAACTTGCCAGACTCAAGCCATCCTCCCACCTCAGCCTCCCAAGGAGCAGGGATTACAGGTGTGCAACACCACAACCAGCTGATTTTTTTAATTTTTTGTAGGAACGGGGTTTCACCATGTTGCCCAGCCTGGTCTCAAACTCCTGACCTCAAGCAATCCTCCCCCATCTCAGCTTCCCAAAGTGCTGGGATTACAAGTGTAAGCCACCATACCCTGCTTGCTTAATAAATATTCTCTATTACTGGCTGGGCGCAGTGGCTCATGTCAGTAATCCCAGCACTTTGGGAGGCCAAGGTGGGTGGATTGCCTGAGATCAGGAGTTTGAGACCAGGCTGGCTAACATGGTGAAACCCCGTCTCTACTAAAAATACAAAAATTAGCTGGGTGTGATGGCACACGCCTGTAGACTCAGATACTTGGGAGGCTGACACAGGAGAATTGCTTGAACCTGGGAGACAGAGGTTGCAGTGAGCCGAGATCGTGCCACAGCACTCTAACCTGGGTGACAGAGCACCACTCCGTCTCCTAAAAAAAAAAAATTATCTATCGTTTTATGTTATTAAACTTAATACCCACTATCTCACTCAATAGTGTTAGTTCTTAGAGTTACTACAGTATGTAGTCCAGATACCGCAGATCATTTAGAATGTCCTGCTCTCCCTGTGTTTATCTGTCTCATTCCATACCTGTGTACATGCTGCTGCCTTTGCTTGGATTGCTCCACCTGTGCCTACAGGTGACTTCCTGCTCATTCAAGAAGACTTCTCCAAGGGCCTTCCCTGACTGTCTCCACCATCCCCTCCAGCAGATTAATGTGCTACTTTGTTCCTTCTTATATAAATGCACATGGTACTTTGTCTTACTGGCGTAACTTTCTCCAGATTAAAAGGAGGAAGGAATCATTTTTACTAAGTGCCTGTTATAATGTCTTACAGTACTTCATTTAATCCCCACTCAGCCCAATGAGGTAGATGGTGGTCTCCTCATTTTATAGCTGAGAAACCTGAGGATAAAAACTATTAGGTAATTCTGCAAAAACACACAGCCACTGAAAATCATTCCCAGGTCCCACCTTAAATTAGCATGTGTACTTTCAGTTTACACCCTCACACATTCCTAAGTTTAAAACCTATTTTAGAAGCCGATGTTTGTTTTGTTGGGTGCCATGTTCCTTATGGAAGCATGATTTTGCTTTGAATTTGATGCTTAATGGATATTCTCTCTCTTGGTCATGCAAGCATGCTTTTGTTGGATCAGTTTCAAAGATTATCCAAGTTCACAGGCAGGTTTTTCTTTACTGCTATACCTTCTTGGAATAATTTTTTCTGATTGAATATATTTGTAATCAGCAACCATTTTATTAGCTAGTAATTAATATTTCTTAGAATCTCATAGTCATATACTTTGTGACAACTGAGTTAGCTTTTTATTTTCTAATTATTGACTGTGCACTCAAAAGTTAAAGTTGCCTGACCTGTAACTTGAAGGTCAGATTTCCAAGTAATATCACTAGTAATTTGAAATCATTTTACTTGCCTTTCTTTCATTTCCAACCTTCTAGCCCCTTCTAATTCACATAAGATATATCATAGTCCAAATAAAACATCACTTAGGGAAAACTAATAACATACAGTAAAATAACTGCAAATATGAATAGAATGGCATAATAACATTACAAATTAGAGTAGCATAAAATAAAGTTTTTTAGAGTAAGAGAATTACTAGTAACTTCATCCCTCCCCTTCACTTACTCCCACATCTACCTTTGGGCAAAGCCTGTTAATTCTCCCTTTAAACATCTCAAATCTGCCCATTTTTTTCATTGCTGCTTTCACTCTAGTTTAAGCCACCTTCATGTCTTACCTGGAGAGCTACAGTAGTCCCTTAAGTGATCTCCCTGACTGTACATTCCCCACTCTCATTCACACTTCTCCTCTCTATAATCTCCATGCAGGGATCAGATGAGCTCTTTAAACCATCAGCTGGATAAGCTGATAATTCACATCTCCTTACTCCTTTGCTGAAATAGATAATGATCTTTCTCTTTTTTTGTTGTGTTTTTTTTTTTTTTGTTTTTTTTTTTAGTAGAGATGGGGTTTCGCCATGTTGGCCAGGATGGTCTCGATCTCTTGACCTCATGATCCACCCAACTCGGCCTCCCAAAGTGCTGGGATTACAGGCGTTAGCCACCGCGCCCGGCCCAATAATGATCTTTTTAAATACTGCATGACAAAGCATACATAGTACCTAAATCTAGATTTGTCTTGCTCCAAAATGCTCAAAGTAATAGATTTTAATGCACAAATGTAGCGAGATTATGAGTCCTTCATCCAGACTTTTAGGTAATATCACCTGACACTGAGCAACGATAAAGAAAATGTTCTGCCAGACACAGTGCCTCACACCTATAATCCCAGTGCTTGGGGAGACTGAGATGGAAGGATTACTTGAGGTCAGAAGTTTAAGACCTCCTGGGCAACATAGTGAGACCCTGACTCCACAAGTAAAAAATTTAAAAATTAGTCAGATATGCTGGCATATGCCTTTAGTCCCAGCTACTCAAGAGGCTGAGGTGAGAGGATCACTTGAGCCCAGGAGTTTGAGGTCACATAAGTTATAATCACCCACTGTACTCCAGCTTGGGCAACAGAGCAAGACCCTGTCTCTAAAAAACAAAAGAAGAAAAAAGGAAATGTGGGTTTTTTTTTTTTTACAAAAAAGGCCTCTCAGTATCCAAACTATCATTAATTGGACAACTGCCTATTTGGATGAAGCAAAAAGCAAATTCACCTGGATTCTAGTTATAGAGACAATGTGAATAGAACTTTAGAAATTCAGTTCTTACAGATCTGGTTCTAAGTATGGTAATGGTACCATGAACTTCATAGCTGTGCCCCTGAGGAAAGGATTTAAGAATGCCAAATAAAAAGTTTTCTATTAAGAGAAGTAAATCTTAGAGAAAAAAATTAACAGCAGTTGTTAAAATATATAAGAGCATACAGAAAAGTGAGTTGGATCATAATATATTAATATAAACTTAAGTATAGTTGTGCATATTCATTAATATTTCAGTCCAGATCAGTTCATCTGAGTCAGTACTAAGACTTTTGTATTCTGTAAAATATATTCTCTCCTTTGATGCTAGGTCAATGAAAACACCAAGATTCTTAAGTAGGAGAAAAACATGCACACATATATGATGTTGATGTGTCATTACCAAATAAAAGCACACATATTTGCATATATAGTTAATTTTAATTTTAATATGCCATTGCTTAATGAAATACATATTTAGATCTTTAAAGAGATGCTTATCAGCCACCCAGAGTTTACTAAACTTAAAGATGTTCAGACTCTGAATTTGCTAATTTCTGTGTTACTAAGAGGTTAATTATCCTTAGCTTCCTGAATCTCATCCCTTTCCAATTTTGCAACTCAGTAAAAGAAAGAAAAAGAGAAACTATGCATAAGCCCACAGTTAGAGTAAAAAATAGGTCAAACTCCTCCTCTCACATGATCCTTTTATTGGTTCCTCCAACCTACTCTGCATTCCTTTTTCTTTAAATCATCATGGTACATTCACTCATTTTCCTTTTGGCTGTGAGCCCTTTAAGCATGATAACTACTGAGCAACTGTTACAGATGCTGCAGCTGTCATAGGTTCTGCAAGTTTGTGTCTAGATTCTTAAATGCATTTAGTTTATGATGGCTTTAAGTATTAATCATGGCTTCTGACTCAAACCCAGCCTTTGAGGATACTCTTCGAGGTAAGAAATTTATCAAGAGAAATTTCATACCCTACCTTTGGCAGTAAATTTTTTTTGCTATGCTACACTTACAATGAGATGGCTACTAACTCATAGTAATATAGCATGTCATTATAAGTAGTGAAGTACTTATTGACCATGTTTCATATAGTTTTTCAGGAATAGTAATGCCATTAAACCTCCTTACCTACTTTTCTCATGCTGTATATCTGTGCTAGCTGACAGGGAATAGGGGTTCAGTTTGAATCTGGAATAGATCTTTTTCTCAGCAAAGGTGATAAAACTACTACCTCCATGTTTTAATTAACTTTCTTATAGTTCAGGCTCTCATGTGTGAAATTTTTACCAAAACTGCAGATACTAGGAATGGCTAATCTTTGATCAATGTTTCTTAGATTTGTTTAATCTGAGAATATTCTTTAAATTTCTTTCATAATTATTATATATAATTTTGTACTTTTAAAGAGCAACCTTTTTCATTATTTAGACAATATCATGTAATTACCTATTTTAATTGAAGTGGCTGGGTGTGGTGACCGATGCCTATACTCACAGCACTTTGGGAGGCTGAGGTAGGTGGATGGCTTGAGCCTAGGAGTTCGAGACCAGCCCGAGCAACATGGCAAAATGCTGTCTCTAAAAATGAAAATTTAAAAATAAATAAAAATTTTCCTCAATCTTTATTTCAGCTCCAGTGTGCTGCTCTGCTCGTTACAACTTAGCAATTTTGGCCTTTTTTGGTTTCTTCATTGTGTATGCATTACGTGTGAATCTAAGCGTTGCATTAGTGGATATGGTAGATTCAAATACAACTTTAGAAGATAATAGAACTTCCAAGGCATGTCCAGAGCATTCTTCTCCCATAAAAGTTCATCATAATCAAACGGTAGGTACTATTTTTTAAGGAAACAACCTTAATTTAAAAAAAAAAAAAAAAAAAAAAAAACTTACAAGTAAAAATATTAAAAGGTATTTTTTCATCCTACAGAAACCACAAACACTTTGTTTATGTATACTCTGAATCACTTTCTTTTTCTGTTTCCCAGGAACTGATTGGGCAATAACTTGTAACTATAGCTACTACTGCTATGCCATAATACATCTTGATCTGTTTGAAAAATAGGTCTTCCATTCCTTCTATAAATATACCGTCTTTAAGAAAATTTGGAAAAACCTGTTTTACATAATAAAAATTAAACTTTTAAATTTTCTAAATAGCTTTTATAGGAGTATCATTTATAACCCTTTATCACTTATAGGATTACTGCTGCAAGAGAGTTTAGGTAATCTCATTTGCAAGATGAAAAATAAGAACTGGCCAATTTCTTAGGATATTCTTTTCTGAATGTACACATGCGTAACCTAAGCTACTTAAGTCATTTTGCCTGCCTTATGTTATAGTGGAATTGATAAATGTGTGTTCATCATTTGTTTATAATAACTTATATACACTTTATTTTATTTTGCTTATCACACAATGAGACAGTACAGAAAGAAAAGCTAGTACTCTTTTTAGAAGTATATTTTCAGGCTGAGTGTAGTGGCTCATGTCTGTAATCCCAGCACTGTGGGAGGCTAAGGCTGGTGGTTCACTTGAGGTCAGAAGTTCGAGACCAGCCTGGCCAACATGGCGAAACCCCATCTCTAGTAAAAATACAAAAATTAGCTGGGTGTGGTAGCACACACCTGTAATCCCAGCTACTCAGGAGGCTGAGGCAGGAGAATCTCTTGAACCCAGGAGGTGGAGGTTTCAGTGAGCCGAGATCATGCCATTGCACTCCAGCCTGGGCAATAAGAGTGAAACTCCTTCTCCAAAAAAAAAAGTAAGCTTTCATCCATTTTCAGTGCTCATGAAGGTATTTGGGTTTCACTGCTCATGAAGGTTCATACTTGGGTGTCTCCTCTGTCATTTATAAGCAGTGTATTCAAGCAGGAAAGAGGTTTTCTCTCTAAACAAAATAAATCTCTCCAAAAATCTTTATATATTGACCTCAATAATGTTGTTGAATAACATTTGGGCACACATCACTCACTCTCTCCACTCCAACCTGTGACCTTCAGGGACAATACTGCCGGATCGTACATGAAATCCTAGAATTCCACAGATAAACTGCACATTGGTACCCTAAATAAGGAAAAGTAGGAGTTTGCTTTGTGTCTTTTCCTTTGCAAAGTGCTTTTCTTGACCCTGCTACTCATCTTCATCTGCCTTATGTCAGCAGTAGAAAGAAATCCAGAAATGGTTCTTGACACATTGGCTTGATTTTACAGCTATGTGCATTGAAGATGTCAGATATTGATGTCAGATATTCAGATCAGTCATTAATTTTCATTAGTACCTTACTATGTGCTGCTGCTATGAAAACACAGGTTCTACTAACATTAAGTTTGTTGGTTGATTTAAATTCTTGCTTTTTGGTATTGTTCTATATGCTTAAGTGCTTGGTCTGAAATGGGGAGATATTAATATCTATATTTATGCATGTCAATAACCAGCATTAAGTAAACACTGTGCATCAAGCTTTATTTTATGTGCCTGTTTCATTTACTCTTCCCAGATCACACATCCATTAAGTAACAGAGCTAGGATTATAACCAGGCCTGGTTCCCAAAGCCTAGCTCAACCACTACAGTTTAATTCTGTTTACTGTACTAGGTTTCTAGATTAAGCCTGTGACTCTTTTTTTTGGTTGGAGTATCAGGGAACGGCAGCCTCCCAAGCCATAGTAGGCTCAGAGACACTTAAACCTTTTTTGTGATTCTTTTGTGAGCCTTCTTTCTCAGTTATTACAAAGCTTCTGCAGCTCATCCTGCAGTCTAGTTTCATAAAATTGCAAGCCTTCTTGAAGTTTACGACTTTCAGTTCCATTCCATTCACTTCTAAATGCTATGTGTCTGTATTGTTATGACTCACCCAGTTACTAGAAAGTCTGCACGTTCTTCAGTCCAAAACAGTACTTCAAAATCTCATTTATATGTACTTACATGGCAGTAAGAGAAAAGAGCTGTTCTGTGAAGGTCTTAAAGGTTGTTTTATTCTCTCCTGCCTTTTGTAGGGTAAGAAGTACCAATGGGATGCAGAAACTCAAGGATGGATTCTCGGTTCTTTTTTTTATGGCTACATCATCACACAGATTCCTGGAGGATATGTTGCCAGCAAAATAGGGGGGAAACTGCTGCTAGGATTTGGGGTCCTTGGCACTGCTGTCCTCACCCTGTTCACTCCCATTGCTGCAGATTTAGGAGTTGGACCACTCATCATACTCAGAGCACTAGAAGGACTAGGAGAGGTAATTTTCTTTTCTCTTGTTTTACTTCTTACCCTATGTCTCCTCTTCTTCTTAAAGATTTCACTCTTTGGTATAAATATGAACCAAAAAATAACATTGGATGATAACAGGGATTTCTTTTTTACAGAAAGGACTAACTAGAAAATTACCTGAATAGATTTCGTTTATGGTAAATGAGGTCTTGGGTAGGAGCACCCCAAAATTTGAACCTTTACTCAAAAACCAGAGAAAACGTTTTTCCAGAAGAGACTTCATCACTTGTACTTTAGGAGAGAAGAAAATAAACCAATATTAAATTGTTAAGATAGGCTGGGCACGGTGGCTCACACCTGTATTTCTAGCACTTTGAGAGGCTGAGGTGGGCAGATCACTTGAGGTCAGGAGTTAGAGACCAGCCTGGCCAACATGGCAAAACCCCATCTCCACTAAAAGTACAAAAATTAGCCAGGCATGGCAGCACATACCTGTGATCCAGCTGCTTGGGAGGCTGAGGTGGGAGAATCACTTGAACCCGGGAGGCAGAGGTTGTAGTGAGCCAAGATCACGCCACTGCACTCCAGCCTGGGCGACAGCAAGTCTCCATCTCAAAAGAAAAAAGGATGGTTAAGATTGGCCATCCTTACCTCTTGTACTTTTGTCACAGTTTAACTCTGCTCTATCATTGATGCCCAGATCTGCAACACATTTTACACAATAGACTGTTCAGTTGCATTGAATTTCTTCTTTATCACTTGTTCTTTTATTTTTTCCGGTCTTGTAACTTAGGGACAAATATTTTATGGTTTCATGTAACTATCTCAATTTAGTTCCATGATTCTGCTGTTTTTAGAACTGTTATTAATTTTTGCCTCTATTCCCCTCCCCTTGAGTTTTATCATTTTTTAAAATTTTGATTCTTGTCTTTCTTTTCCTTCCCACTTTTCTTTTATATTTCATCATGTGTGCCTCCATACTTAAATGATTTTCACTTTTCCTTTATAACTTTGAACTTGTACTTGTGAAACCCAGGCAAAGGTGTATTTTGTTCTCTTGCACTTCTTTAATTCAAGCAAGATAGTAGCCACTGGGTTTGGTGTAGAGCATGAAGATTATTTTAAGTAGCAGCATATCATGCTGTTGAAATGAACACTGGACTAGAGTCTGAATAATAGCTCCATTGTATCTAACAAGGAAACTTTAGGTAAGCTCTAATCTCTAGACCTCAGTTCCACCATTTTTTAAATTGGGACTCAAATACCTTCCCTGTTTTCAGCCACAGGATAAAAAATTCATATGTGATAAGGATTGCTAGAATACTTTGGACATTGCAAGGTACTATTTGAAGATTTTTCATTCATCTGAATGTTTTTGTTCTTATCAGTAGAGGTCTATTAAGTAAACCCTTCCTGATCACAAAATTAAAATAACTCCTCTATTACCAGGTTCCTCTTCTTCTTGACAAAGTAAAATATACTTAAATCTAGCATCTTTTCTCTGATCCTAGTATTGAATCTCCTTGCTGGATGTATCCCCATATTTTACTTCCTGTCTGTTTATGCCACTAATTTAACATTATATCATATTGATCATATTACTACTGTTATCTCAGGTGACATTTTATTTCTTTTTTTTCTTTTTTCTTTTCTTTTTTTTTTTTTAGACAGAGCCTCATTCTGTCGCCAGGCGGTAGTGCAGTGGTGTGATCTCATCTCACTGCAACCTCCGCCTCCCAGGTTCAAGCGATTCTCCTGCCTCAGCTGGGATCTCAGTAACTGGAATTACACTTGCCGCCATGCCTGGCTAATTTTTGTATTTTTAGTAGAGACAGGGTTTCACCATGTTGGCCAGTCTCGTCTTGACCTCCTGACCTCAAGTGATCCACTTGCCTTGGCCTCCCAAAGTGCTGGAATTACAGGCATGAGCCATCACTCCCAGCCGACGTTTTATTTCTAAATCAAATTTAAGTTGTGTTTATATTTGGGCTCTCTCGCCCTTCTTCATCCTTCCAATATGTATCGCAGGTACATTTCCTCATTTATAAAGGACACTTAGATTACCGTCTCATTCCTACCACCTAATTCATGATAAATATACCTACATTGTCCCTAGGTTTTATAATAAAGTTTTCTACAACATAATATCTGTGGGCATTTCCAAACATCTTCAGTTTTCTTCTAGAATGACTCATCCTGTGGATACTCCATGATATAGATTCTTATTGATTAGCAATGTACCTAAATCATCTTTGCCTTCTATTGGTATTACTTTTTTTTTAATTCCTTTGTTTTGTTTTTGAAAGAGTCAGCAGGAAGTACAAAGTATTAAAACATTTATTATTCTCTCCACTAAAAATGGCAATAGCTACCATTTATCTTTACAACAATTATGCAAGATTGGGAGTATTATCTCTGTTTTACAGATAAAGAAATTGAAGTTCAAGGAGGTTAACTGATCTTCCTGAAGTGACACAGAGAGTGTCCAAGGACAGCTGTCCTCTCCCACTCTCCTGTGCTATCTCCTCATTTACCCAATCTCTGCAAACCTCCTGCTTCCACATCCCATTACCTCTCTGTATCAGTAATTGTCATTTACTAGGCTTGTTATCACAGTAAAAAAAGAAAAATGGCTGTAAACATGCCTGTTGATTGTCAGCTCGAATTTTTTTCAGTATCCCAAAGTATTAGCTCAGAGTTTTTCAAAGTTATAAGTTAGTAATATTCCCTTTTCATTCAGGTGATCAATAAAGTGAATGAGAAAAATTAACCTTGAGCATGATCCCTTTATGTCCTCACTCAGTACAATTCTTTTAGATTTACTGTAACCCTTTTCTTATTATCTTCAAACCGGTTCCAAAATCCATGAATCTTTGGGAATTTTTACTTTTTTTTAAGAGATGGCATCTCATTATGTTGCCCGGGCTGATCTCGAACTCCTGGGCTCAAATAATCCTCCGCCCTTGGCCTTCCAAAGTACTGGGATTACAGGCTTGAGCCACCATACCCAGCCCTCAAATTTTGAAAGTACTTCATTATAAGATATTTTCACTTAACACTGTAAAAATGTCTCACTTCATGGAACCTGATTCAGGTTTGATTCTTATCCAGGTAATGCTTTTGCAGCAAAATACTTAACTTACTTTAAAACATTAACAAAACTACCTTGTATTTCATCAGAAATATCATGTTCACTTCTCTCAGGGTGTCACATTTCCAGCCATGCATGCCATGTGGTCTTCTTGGGCTCCCCCTCTTGAAAGAAGCAAGCTTCTTAGCATTTCATATGCAGGTGAGATAACTATTATCGAATTTTGCTGTAATGTGTTATGTATATATCACCCTTGGGGAAAAAGTACCTGCATACCAGAATCATGCAATGTTGGATTGGATGCCCCTCTGGGGAGAAACTTAAGTTTCAGTAGTATAACTTTATTACCAATTTTTCTCTTTGGCTCAACAGCTTGTAGTAATGTGGCTTAATTGACTGTCATTTTCCCCATCTACCATCATTTATTTCAAAATGTGTTGCCTTTTCAGATATTGGTGTAAAGCTGCTATTTTTTTTTTCTTTTTCTGTTTACGTTTTTTGTTTTTTTAAATTTATTTTTGTTTGTTTGGAGATGGAGATGTTATTTAAAAAAAAAAGAAAAGGCCAGAAGCTAGAAAATGGAATGTTTTTGTCCTTAAACTGTGACTTCTCTTTTGATTATCTAATGAATGTATCATGATTCTCAGCCCCTCTCTTCATGCATCTTTTTTCGATGCATCTTTATTTGCCATCATTTTGATCTACAGGTGAGATAACAAGAAATTCTAGCCTTTCTTTCATTGACTGAAATTTTTCCACCTGACTGCTTTTTTAAAACAGTAGTTGAGAAAAGGCCTCTCTGTGGTACTTTTAAGCTAAAATCTGAAGGATAAGATCAAACCAGTCAGGCAGGGAGAAGAGCACTTCAGCCAGTCAGAACAGCATGTATGAGGGCCCTCAGGCAAGAAATAACATAAGGGTTCAAAGAAATGGAAAACTACTGTGGGTGGCTAGAACTCAGTAAGTAAGTAAGGAGGATAATGGCATAAAATGAGATTAGAGAAAGAGACAAGAGCCGGGTTATATGAGGTCTTACAGGATACAGGAAATAATGTAGTTTTTTTTTTTTAAGAGGCATGATTCAGTTACATTTTAAGAAAATTATTCTTACAACTATGTGGAGATTGACATGAGAAATCTGATGATAGATTCAAGAAAAGGTGCTATCTAAGGTTCCCCTTTACCTATTGAATAAATCCCAAACTCCTTGAACGAGGGACAGGATTCTTTACAGTCTTCACTACTTTGTTGCAGCTAGCCTTATATCTCTGGCACGTAGTGCCTAGCATGGAGTAGGTACTCAGTAACCGTTCGACTGTTCAACCTATTTTTCCATCCTTATCTATTTTTCTTTTCCTTTCCTTTACCCAAAGGACGTTCCCAAGCCTACTGTCTGCTTTCCTACTTCCATTCCTTTGCTTGTCCTGCTATACTAACTCTTTATCTTTTTTCTAATCTTGTTTCTACGGGACCAAATTATAGCCTTTTTTTGTTTGCATTTGTTTTTGTTTTTGAGACAGGGTCTCACTCCAGGCTGGAGTGCAGTGGCACAATCACAGCTCACTGGAGCCTCAACATCCCAGGCTCAAGTGATCCTCAGCCTCCCAAGTAGCTAAGTAGCTGGTACCACAGGCATGTGCCACCACCACACCTGGATAACTGTTGTATTTTTAGTAGAGGTAGGAGTTTGCCATATTACCCAGGCTGGTCTCAAACTCCTAGACTCAAGTGATCCACCCACTTCAGCCTCCCAGAGTGCAGGGAATACAGCATGAGCCACTGTGCCCAGCCTGTTACCCCTCCTCTGTAAGCAGTAGACTTGTCTGTCCTATTTTTGTTTCTCTCTCTCCAAAGTTTATAAAGTCTTATGTGTTGTTCTAGGAGCACAGCTTGGGACAGTAATTTCTCTTCCTCTTTCTGGAATAATTTGCTACTATATGAATTGGACTTATGTCTTCTACTTTTTTGGTAAGTTTAAAATTTTAACTAAATTATAATGTAACAAATTCAAAATATAATAGTAGCCTAATAATTTGTTAAAAATATACATTCCAAATCACCAAACCTCAAAGTTCTAAAACACTTACTGATAGCCTGTTTTTCAAGTTAGTATGGTTAGCTTGACCTATCTGAGTTATGACCTGATATTAGTTTTGGAATATTTCTCAGTAGAATTTCTAACGACTGTTGATCCTGGACACACATTTGCTATCAAAAAAATCACTGTCTTGGATATTTTCAATTTCTTCTCAAGCAAAGTAGGATGTTCTCACTTGGTAGTTTTAATGTTTTTTTTTTCTTTTTATCTAGTCCCAAGGCATTTTATTTCTCAATTTCATTGGCACCATGATACACATTTTTAATAAATTAACTTTTCACATGGATGTGTCATGCAAGAAGTATATCTGCAATCAAAATTTAAAAATCATCTTACAAAAACAGACACCTTTGGAAATATGTAGATTGTGGAAATGTATCTTCAAAAAAGTTTGTCTGGTAGACCCTGGTAGGCAAAGTCATGTAGTTAAAAGTTGTTTTCTTCTGGCCGGGCATGTTGGCCCATGCCTGTAATCCCAGCACTTTGGGAGGCCAAGGCAGGTTGATCACAAGGTCAGTAGTTCAAGACCAACCTGGCCAACATGGTGAAACCCCATCTCTACTAAAAATACAAAAATTAGCCTGGTGCAGTGGCACGTGCCATAGTCCCAGCTACTCAGGAGGCTGAGACAGTAGAGTTGCTTGGACCCAGGAGGAGTACGTTGTAGCAAGCCAAGATAGAGCCACTGCACTCCAGCCTGGGCAACAGAGTAAGATTCTGTCTCAAAAAATAAATAAATAAAATGTTTTCAAAATGTAGCACAATTATAGCAATTATCCCATTAAAGAATTGAGAAAAACTTGAATCCAAACTGAAGTTAGTTTTACGTTGATTTTATAGTTACAGAATGTTTTCAAGACATGTAAAAACTGCTATTAGTACATTTTAATTTTGTGTTTTTGTTTTGTCTTTTGTTACATTCTAATTTTATCTAACGATTATTTTTCAATTTTAAGGTGCTGTTGGAATATTTTGGTTTCTTTTGTGGATCTGGTTAGTTAGTGACACACCACAAACACACAAGAGAATTTCCCATTATGAAAAGGAATACATTCTTTCATCATTAAGAAATCAGGTATGGACTTTGACACATTTTAAAAATAATACCAGAATGCTTTTTGCTTCAGAATTAAGATACCAATTTTTAAAAATCGATATTTCTACTGTGCATGCCCTAGACAAAGTAGAAGAGGCAAATGAAGTAAATATTTAGAGTACTGTCTGGTTGGGTGCAGTGGCTCACACCTGTAATCCCAGTACTTTCAGGAGGCCTCGGTGGGAGAATCATTGAGGCCGGCAGACTAGCCTACTCAACATAGTGAGACCCTGTCTCTACGCAACATTTAAAATATTTTTAAATTTTTTTTAAATAAATATGAACAAAGTATTGTTTGAAGAATGAAGTTCTTTCATTTTTTATAGAAAGTATAGTTGTATAAGCTATAAAAATACTTTTTAAGTCATTTTAAACTTTTTAGAGCAGTGGATATCAAATGAGCCTTGTTTATTTTTACCACTTGATTAGTAGAAAATAAAATGTGTTATTCATGAAAGGATTCTCATTCTGATCATTAGTTGTTAGAAAACCAACTAGTGTGTTTATACAGTTGCGCATCCCAAATCTAAAAATTCTAAATCCAAAATACTCTGAAATCCAAAAGTTTTTGAGAACCCACATGATGCTCAAAGGAAATGCTCATTGAAGCATTTCAGATTTTTAGATTTTAAGATTTAGGATGCTTGGCCCGGCGTGGTGGCTCATACCTGTAATCCTAGGACTTTGGGAGGCCGAGGTGGGCAGTTCACCTGAGGTCAGGAGTTTGAGACCAGCCTGGCCAACACAACAAAGCCCCATCTCTACTAAAAAATAAAAAAATTAACCAGGCATGGTGGCTCAAACCCGTAATCCCAGCTACTCAGGAGGCTGAGGCAGGAGAATTGCTTGAACCCAGGAGGTGAAGGTTGCAGTGAGCCGAGATCACATCACTGCACTCCAGCCTGGGTGACAGAGCGAGACTCAGTCTCAAAAAAAAAAAAAAAAAAAAGATTTCAGATGCTTATAGGAGTGAACCACCATGCCCAGCCCAAGATTGACATTTTAAATATTTATATGTAGTATAATAAGGCAGTAATTAAAAACTTAATCTGGACTGGGCATGGTGGTTTATACCTGTAATCTGAGCACTTTGAGAAGATAAGGCAGGCAGATTTCTTGAGCCCTGGAGTTCAAGACCAGCCTGGACAACATAGTGAGACCCCAACTCTAAAAAGAAGAAAAAATTTACTCTTTAACATTTCAAGTTTTTTACTTTGCTATAAATGTCTCTACAGCAGCTGAACTTTAAGAAATATGACCTGTCACCAGGTACGGTGGCTCACGCCTGTAATCCAGCACTTTAGGAGGCTGAGGTGGGTGAATTATGATGTTAGGAGTTTGAGACCAGCCTGGCCAACATAGTGAAACCCCATCTCTACTAAAAATACACAAATCAGCCAGGCATCATGACACAAACCTGTAGTCCCAGCTACTCGGGAGGCTGAGGCAGGAGAATCACTTGAACCCAGAAGGCAGAGATTATGGTGAGCTAAGATCGCACCACTGCACTCCAGCCTGGGCAACAGAGCAAGACTCCATCTCAAAAAAAAAGAAAGAAAGAAAGAAAGAAAGAAATATGACCTGTCATGATCTTTGCCAAAGATTGGCAAAAACTTAGAAACAGAAGAAATAAGCACTGTAATAAAGTTTTAACCAGGTGGAGAGCTCATATCCAAGGTTATACCTGGGTCTGAGTATTCCCAGAAAAAAAAAAAAAAAAAAAAAAAAATTTAATACAAATAGTAAGTTTTAGCTGGGTGTGGAGGCACATGTGTAGTTTCAGCTCCTCAAGAGGCTGAGGCAAGGGGACTGCTTGAGTCCAGGAGGTCAAGGCTACAGTGAACCATGATCAGCCATTGCATTCCAACCTGGGCAACAGAGCAAGTAAAAAAAAAAGTTACTTTGAAAGTTTAGTGTCCTACATGATGTTAATTAAGTGAGTTACCTACTTTTTCCTCTTAAGGAACAAGTTGAATTTAATGCATTATAAACAGATGTTGCCATGTAAAACCTGATGTTTTGTCATTTTCTTAACACTGATGGGTAACAGCTTGCTTATTCCAATATTTCATTTTTATCATTATCTTCCAGAGCTTATAAAACTTTTGAGTTTGTTTAAATTTTTTAAAAAGCTTTCCCGGCCAGGCACGGTGGCTAAGGCCTATAATCCCAGCACTTTGGGAGACTGAGGTGGGTGGATCACCTGAGGTCAGGAGTTCAAAACCAGCCTAACCAACATGGAGAAACCCCATCTCTAACAAAATTAGTCGGGCGTGGTGATGCATGCTTGTAATCCCAGCTACTCGAGAGGCTGAGGCAGGAGAATCACTTGAACCCAGGAGGCAGAGGTTGCGGTGAGCCAAGATCAGGCCATTGCACTCCAGCCTGGGCAACAAAAGCAAAACTCCAACTCAAAAAAAAATAAATAAATAAAAACCTTTCCCTTGGTCAGGCACAGTGGCTTGCACCTGTAATCCTAACACTTTGGGAGGCAAAGATGGGAGGACTGCTTGAGCCCAGGAATTGAGACCAGCCTGGGCAACATGATGAGACCTCTCATCTCTATAAAAAATTTTAAAATCAGCCGGGCATGAGATTATGCACCTGTAGTCTTAGCTACTCAGGAGGCTGAGGCAGGAAGATTGCGTGAGCTTGGGAGGCAAGACTATGGATTGCGTGAGCTTGGGAAACAGAGCGAGAACCTGTAAAGTGGTCTTATTTTTGTCTTGCTCCAGCATGCTCATAGAGTGGCCTGGTTTTGGTTCAACAGGAGAACCCCAGGGCCTAGATATTAGAACCAGGACAATTTAGCTTACAGCAGCCCGGGACTGCTGCTTTCTTTTTCTTTTCTTTTTTTTTCTGATAGTGTTTTGCTCTTTCAGTGCAATGGTGCAATCTCAGCTCACTGCAATCTCTGCCTCCCAGATTCAAGTGATTCTCCTGACTCAGCCTCCCTAGTAGCTAGGATCACAGGCACGTGCCACCAAACACAACTAATTTTGTATTTTTAATAGAGATGGGGTTTTACCATATTGGCCAGGCTGGTGTCAAACTCCTGACCTCAGGTGATCCACCTGGCTCAGCCTTTCAAAGTGCGGGGATTACAGGCTCAAGCCCCCACGCCAAGCCTGACTGCTGTTTTTCTTTCTCACTTTGCTGAGAGAAAGAATGGTATCTTCTAGAGAGAGAGTGACACCTTCCAGGAAGTGCGGCAGTTGGGTGTCGTTCTCATGGATAAGGCAAAAGCAAAAAATAACAGGAAGAGGAAGCAGGTGGAAGTCAGGTCATGGAGGGTCCCCTGTGCCTCACTAAGGAGCTTAGCCTTTATCCGTTAGGCACTGGGATGCCATGTAGTATTTGTAAGCTTGAAGTGACAGAATCAGGTTTGCATCGTAGATAGCTTATGCTGGCAGTAATGTCAAAGGAGATCTGAGCTGAACAAGCAAGGGTTGCCGTTAGAATGTTTTCTCAGTTATTTAAGAAAAAGTCAGTACTAATAATAGGCAGAAATGTGATTTCATTCTTACAATAAGTGGATTTTACAAGTATGACAGCGTATATAGTTCTAATTCTGATTCTGAAATTTCTACAAAAAAAGAAATAGGCTGGGTCCGGTGGCTCATACCTATAATCCCAGCACTTTGGGAGGCAAAGGCAGGAGGATCGCCTGAGGTCAGGAGCTTGAGACCAGCTTGGCCAACATGACGAAACCCCTTCTCTACTAAAAATACAAAAATTAGCTAGGTGTGTTGTGCATGCCTGTAGTCCCAGCTACTGGGGAGGCTGAGGCAAGATAATCGCTTGAACCCAAGGGGCAGAGGCTGTGATGAGCCAATAACATGATACTGCACTCCATCCTGAGTAACAGAGCAAGACTCCATCTCAAAAAAAAAAAAAAAAAGGAGAGAGAGAGAAGGCCGGGCATAGCAGCTCATGCCTGTAATCCCAGCAGTTCTGGAGGCCGAGGCAGGCAGATCACCTGAGGTCAGGAGTTCAAGAGCAGTCTGGCCAACTTGCTGAAACCTTGTCTCTACTAAAAATATAAAAATTAGCCAGGCATGGTGACAGGCACCTGTAAAACAAGCTACTCAGGAGGCTGAGGCAGGAGAATCGCTCGAACCCGAGAGGCGAAGGTTGCAGTGAGCTGATATTCCACGCCATTGCACTCCAGCCTGTGTAACAGCAAAACTCTGTCTCCAAAAAAAAAAAAAAGAGAGAGAGAAACAAAAATCTTCATTGCACCCTGCAGTTAAATTCAGAAGGCCAGCTCACAACTAGTGAGTGCTTTAAGACAGTCAATTACTCTATTTTGAAGATCTCTTTTTAATGCATTATGGAAAGACATCACTGCTTCACCCACTGAAATGTCCTTTCCTGTATATCTGCTATTTGTTGTTGTTGTTGTTGTTGTTCTTTCCTTAATTCTGGGGATATCGAGGGGTTTTCTTGTTTGTTTGGTTCCAGGGTTTTGGGAGGTTTGTTTGTGAGAAAAGATCTGGCTCTGTTGCCTAGGCTGGAGTACAGTAGCATGATCTCGGCTCACTGCAGCCTCCCTCCACCTCCCAGGCTCCAGCCATCCTCCCACCTCAGCCCACCAAGTAGCTGGGACCCCACAGATGTGTGCCACAAAGCCTGGCTAATTTTTATATTTTTCGTGGAGGCAGGGTTTTGCCATGTTGCCCAGGCTGGTCTTGAACTTGTGAGCTCAAGTGATCCGCCCGCCTCAGCCTCCCGAAGTACTGGCATTACAGGAATGAGCCACCATGTCCAGCCTGAAGATAGCATGTTTTTTAACTGTTTTACTTCTCCTTTATGCCTTTTAGGAAGAGTATACAATTTTGCAGCATTGCAAAGCAAATCAAATGGGGACCTTGATTTGAATATTTAGTTGTCTAATTAAAACAGAAATTAAGAGCATTTATTACATGTAACTTTGCTAAATCGGTTTGCTGTTACTTACATTTGATAAGAAATTTTTTTTGTAAAATGGCATATTAGAAGATATTCAAGTATTTGTTGAGTGATCATACCCTCTCTATATTTCACACATTTCATGACAAATAATGTTTAGTTTGTCCTTTTCTGTTTCAACTAATATGGGAAAAAAAAGTTGATTGAGCTATTATTAGAAATTTGACAATACATTTTGTATACAAGATTCAGGATCTTATTAATTTTTCCTTCACAAACATTATCATTTAAATCTCCAAAGTATATTTGCTTTCAAAATGTTGGCTGAGCAAATGATCTGAGAAATTTTAAAATTCCTTGCCTGTATGTATTTGGGAGGTTGAGAAGGGGATGGGGAGGACAGATTCTCATGCCGTTCCCCAGGCTGGAGAGCACTATCTCAGCTCACTGCAACCTCTACTTCCTGGGCTCAAGAGATTCTTGTGCCTCAGCCTCCCCAGTAACTGGGATCACATGTACACACCGCCATTCCCGGCTAATTTTTTGTATCTTTAGTAGAGCCAGGGTTTCACTGTGTTGGCCAAGCTGGCCTCCAACTCCTGGCCTCAAGTGATCCTCCTGCCTTGGCCTCCCAAAGTGCTGGGATTACAGGTGTGAGCCACCACACCCAGCCACACATACATATTTTCCTTTATCAGCAGTGGTATTTTGGAAGAATGTAGAGCTCTAATAAGAACTTTCAGAACCAGGTGGAGTAACTTTTGCCTGTAATCCCAGCACATTGCTAGGCCTAGGTGGAAGGATCACTTGAGCCCAGGGCTTAGAGACCTGCCTGGGCAACATAGGGAGACCCCATTTCTAAAAAAAAAAATTTTAATTACCCGGTATGGTGGTACATGCCTGTAGTCTTAGCTACTCCAGAGGCTGAGGTTAGAGGATCACTAGAGACCTGGACGTTGAGGCTGTGTTAGCCGTGATTGTGCCACTGCACTGCAGCCTGGGCAACAGAGCAAAACCCTGTCTCAAAAAAAAAAAAAAAAAGCACCAGGCACGGTGGCTCACACCTGTAACCCCAGCACTTTGGGAGGCTGAAGCGGGCAGATTGCCTGAGGTTAGAATTTTGAGACCAGCCTGGCCAACATGGGGAAACCCCATCTCTACAAAAAATACAAACATTGGCCAGGCACGGTGGCTCATCCCTATAATCCCAGCCACTTTGGGAGGCCGAGGCAGGTGGATCACCTGAGATCGGGTGTCGGAGACCAGCCTGACCAGTATAGTGAAACCTCATCTTTTAAAAAATATGTATATGTACAAATATTAGCTGGCATGGTGGCAGTTGCCTGAACTCCCAGCTGCTCAGGAGGCTGAGGTAGGAGAATTGCTTGAACCCAGGAGGTGGAGGCTGCAGTGAGCCAAGATCACGCCACTGCACTTCAGCATACGTGACAGAGCGAGACTCTGTCAAAAAAAAAAAAATGCTTTCATAATTTTTTTATTTTTTGCCAACAATTAGATGTGGTGAAGCCATAGAGAGTATGTGTTTACACTGATTGATTATCGAGATAGTAGTGTGTTAGAAACAATAGCAAGAGAATAATTTAAAGATCCAGAACATCAAAAAAAAAGCTGTTTTGTACCTTCTCAAGTCCAACCTTAACTTGTGTTGTCCAGTATGGTGGCCACTAGCCCCATGTGGCTGTATTTTTAATTTAACTAATTTAATTAAATTTTAAGTAATTTAATTAAAAATTTAGTTCTGGGCCAGGTGCAGTGGCTCACACCTGTAATCTCAGTATTTTGGGAGGCCAAGGAGGGCAGATCATCTGAGGTCAGCAGTTGAAGACCAGCCTGGCTAACATGGTGAAACCCCATCTCTACAAAAATACAAAAATTAGCTGGGTATGATGGTGGGTACCTGTAATCCCAGCTATTCAGGAGGCTGAGGCAGGAGAATTGCTTGAACCTGGGAGACAGAGATTGTAGTGAGCCGAGACCAGGCCACTGCACTCCAGCCTGGGCAACAGAGCAAGACTCAGAAAAAATTCTTCAGTCACACTAGCCATATGACCAGGGTTTTCTTTCATTTCATTTTGTTTTCTTTCCTCATCCTGTTAGAATGACAAGGATTTAATAACCACATGTAACTACTAGTTACCCTGTGGACAGTGTGTATATGGAACATTTCCATCATCATGGAAAGTTTTGTTGGACAGCACCATCTTAAACTCTTGAAGGATTTTGTTTTAATGTCTGCTAGATACTTGGCTCGTTTCTCCTAGTAACATTTGAAAATTCATCTTTAACTTGAAAGCTTTTATAAATGAAGACTTTCCCCCCGAAATAAAACTTGTAATGTGGAAATACTGTAAGCTGATATTACCATTCATACTGGGAGAACAGAAAACTGTTATGTTGTACCTAGGTTACAAATGAACACTAAGCTGTAATACATACATTTCACATTCTTCTTTCTAAGCCTTTAACCCTGTGGCCTTGTATGCATTTGATAAGCCGCTGTTAGCAGCCTGCCATGTGTCGGGCTTCTGTGTTAGACATACAGCTGATCTTGGTTGGGTGATTGTCCAAAAACATCAGATTGTCAAAAATTCAATTGCTATTAATAGGTTGTAAAAATATACCAGTGTGGCTAAAATTAAATATTTCATATTACAGGTTATATTTCCAAGAGGTAGGATATATTCTTCAGAATATATTCAGTTTTCAGACTTCAAATACATTTACACTTGTATCTTTTGGCATAAAAGAATGATTTCCCTTCTTTTGTGGATTTCAAAGCCATATTAAAAGAGCTATGTTCCAAATTCCTTCAAACTCTAAAATTCTCTCTGTCCTGAGCTTTTCAGCTAACAGGGATGAGGGCAGACTTTAAAATCTAATCTCTACAGCAGTGGGTCCCAAAGTTGCTGCACATTGAAATCACCCAGGGATCTTCAAAAACTAGGGATGCATACCTCCCACCCACCCACAACCTATTCAGTTAGTCTAGGGTGTGACCTTGGTCTCAGTGTTTTTAAGGCTCTGCTGGGTGATTCTTATATGCATCAAAGTTTGGGAACCCACTGCTCTACAGAATTACCAGTGAAGCCGTTTAAAACTTAGGTTCCTTGGCACTACACTCAGAGTTTTTTGCTTTACTTGTTTTTGTTTTGTTTATTCAATAGGTCAAGAGTAGAACATAGGCCTGGGCAACAGAGTAAGACTCCATTTCAAAAAAAAAATAGGCCAGGTACAGTGGCTCACGCCTCTAATCCGAATACTTTGGGAGGCCAAGGTGGGCGGATCACCTGAGGTCAGGAGTTGGAGACCAGCCTAAGCTAACATAGTGAAACCCTGTTTCTAATAAAAACACAAAAAATTAGTCAGGCATGGTGGTGCATGCCCATAGTCCCAGCTACTCGGGAGGCTAAGGCAGGAGAATACCACTTGAACTCGGGAGGCAGAGGTTGCAGTGAGCTAAGATCATGCCACTGCACTCCAGCCTGGATGACAGAGCAAGACTGTGTCTCAAAAAAATAATAATAATACAAAATAAATAAATATAAATAAATAAATGCACTTAAACTGTAATATGCTATAATACACTGAGGGCAAAAAAAGCAAGTGAAGATGCCATTTTAACCCCTCTGAATTAGGGGACTTATACAATTTATAATCATCTGACATACTCCAGGGCCAATATATTTGTTAAATATTAATAGAGTGTAGTTTCTTATTTTTAGAATAAAAATGAATAAAAATAGAAATATGTCCTTCCTCATCCCAGAAGATCATTTTGCATACCCCCATGGTGGTTTTACCCTGCTTTAAAGACCACTTCTCCATATGACTGCAACAGAAACCTTCTATTGCCTAGTTCTTATAAATCATTTCAATTGAATAAAGATTGGATAATTAAATATGAATTCTAACAGGACCTTCCTATCTCTTTCCTTTACCCTTATGTCAGCCTCTGAATTATTTGACTATGAAACTGTATTTTAGAAATCAAGAAATCAAGCTGGGTGCAGTGGTTCACACCTGTAATCCCAGCACTTTGGGAGGCTGAGGTGGGCAGATCATTGGAGGTCAGGAGTTCAAGACCAGCCTGACCACCATGGCAAAACCCCGTCTCTACTAAAAATACAAAAATTAGCCAGGCGTAGTGGCACATGCCTGTAATCCCAGCTGCTTAGAAGGCTGAGGCAGGAGAATTACTTGAACCCAGGAGGCGGAGGTTGCAGTAAGCCACGATTGTACCATTGCATTCCAGCCTGGGCAACAAGAGTGAAACTCTGTCTCAAAAAAAAAAAAAAAAGAGAAATCAATACTGCAGGTAACTTCTGACATTCATAAGCAATGTTTAGGGCTGACGTTATAGCTCTACCATTACCTTTTTACTTTATCATGCATTTTTCTATTTAATATTTCAAAGGAGCTGATTTAAAAATTTAGAGCTTACTAATTAAGGTAATATTCTGTATGAATTCTGGATAGAGTTTTAGCTGATATGGTACAGCTCTAAGCATTAACATAGGTATAGCTTATCCTAAGTATTCCTGTTTTTTTCAGCTTTCTTCACAGAAGTCAGTGCCGTGGGTACCCATTTTAAAATCGCTGCCACTCTGGGCTATTGTAGTTGCACACTTTTCATACAACTGGACTTTTTATACTTTATTGACATTATTGCCTACTTATATGAAGGAGATCCTAAGGTTTAATGTTCAAGAGGTAAGAAAAAATAATCATCTGCTTCTTATAATTTTCTTTTATATATATATTTTTTTCTTATATATAATTTTAAGACCATACACAGAATTTGTTTTCATCTATATAAAATTCAGTTATTTTTGCATCCTCCATTTTACTCTGCTGTCCTAAATTTTAGAGATGTCTCCTTTTGGCCTCCACAATTGTTACTTCTTTTCTCAGTGTGTGCTAACTCTTGATTAAGGTATCTTTTGCCAGTTATTCCCTTTAGCAATGAAGATCTTAATAGTCTCTAGTAACATACCAGGATATCAGTTGACAAATTCAAATGGTACCAGTATTCACTTCTAAAAGGGATGGATTCATTGTGAGCAGCCTTATTTTTCCCAGGGTCTTTGTTAACAGAACCTGATTATAATCTACCACATTTCAACTATAAAGTGGAGCTGATTTTTAAAAAAGAAAATAAATAATATACTACGACAGTGATTAATTGCATTCAACTGCACATTACAGGGTTAATTTGGTAATTATTATTTGGGGTAAAACTGAGACCCACAGAAAGATTAAGAATAGCAAATCCGGTGCTCACGCCTATAATCCCAGAACTTTGGGAGGCTGAGGCGGGTGGATCATGAGGTCAAGAGATCAAGACCATCCTGGTCAACATGGTGAAACCCTGTCTCTATTAAAAATACAAAAGTTGGCCGGGCGCGGTGGCTCAAGCCTGTAATCCCAGCACTTTGGGAGGCCGAGGCGGGTGGATCACGAGGTCAAGAGATCAAGACCATCCTGGTCAACATGGTGAAACCCCGTCTCTACTAAAAATACAAAAAAAAAATTAGCTGGGCATGGTGGTGCATGCCTGTAATCCCAGCTACTCAGGAGGCTGAGGCAGGAGAATTGCCTGAACCCAGGAGGCGGAGGTTGCGGTGAGTCGAGATCACGCCATTGCACTCCAGCCTGGGTAACAAGAGCGAAACTCCGTCTCAGAAAAAAAAAAAAAAATACAAAAGTTAGCTGGGCATGGTGGCGCACGCCTGTGGTCCAAACTACTCAGGAGGCTGAGGCAGGAGAATTGCTTGAACCCAGGAGGCGGAGGTTGCAGTGAGCCGAGATCGTGCCGTTGCACTCCAGCCTGGGTAACAAGAACAAAACTCCGTATCAAAAAAAAAAAAAAAAAAAAAAAAAAGAATAGCAAATCCAGCTGGGCACAGTGGCTCACACCTATAATCCCAGCACTTTCAGAGGCGAAGGTGGGCAGATCACTTGAGGTCAGGAGTTCGAGGCCAGCCTGGCCAAACGTGGTGAAATGCCGTCTCTACTAAAAATATAAAAATTAGCCTGGCATGGTGGCAGGTGCTTGTAGTCCTCAATACTCAGGAGGCTGAGGCCAGAGAATCACTAGAACCCAGGAGGCAGAGGTTGCAGTGAGCCAAGACCCCGCCACTGCACTCCAGCCTGGGCAACAGAGCGAGACTGTCAAAAAAAAAAAAGAATGATTCTTTAAGCTGTATGTTTGACTTAACATGGTTTTCTGCATCTGTATTTTATTTTATAGTAAAAAAATATTTTAAAATAAGTAAGTGAGAATGGAAGACGAAAATGTTTAGTAGGGAGAATCCACAGGTTAATAGGAAGGCTTGTCTTCTCCCACAGCCGAAATCCCAAAGAAACTGTCAAGATTACCTGAAGCAGACAGGACTAGGGCAAGCCTTATTTCCTCTGAGACAGACTTAGGGACTGCCTTGGACTGAATCTCATAATCCTTCTGAAAGCCAGACTTATTTACTGTAATTATATAAAAAATTAACAACATACTGCTATGCATTTCCTTTGTTTTCAAGTGGTGGTTGTTGGCTGTGATGAATGTGTATGTTTTGTTTTTTCCTCCTGTATCTTCTTATTCCTTCCAGAATGGGCTTTTATCTTCATTGCCTTATTTGGGCTCTTGGTTATGTATGATCCTGTCTGGTCAAGCTGCTGACAATTTAAGGGCAAAATGGAATTTTTCAACTTTATGTGTTCGCAGAATTTTTAGCCTTATAGGTAAGTGAAGCAAATCAGGTTTGGTTTTAGTTTACAGTTATTTACCATATTTATAGCTATTGGAGACAGGAAAACAAAGTGTGTTTCCCACTTTTAGACACAAGTTAACACAATACTCACTTTTAGACACAGTTAACACAATACTTAACACAAAACACTTCACTCTGATCACCAAAACATTTGTGGGGATTTCTCCCCAGACAGTCAGTCTGCAGCGGACACCAGCTGGATGTCCTATCATTCAATTCTGACACTGTCCAGCTGGCAGTAGCCTCAGATCCTACAGGTTGAGAGCTCAGTTCCACAAGACCACCCCCGTACTTCGGATGCCAACACAAGTCCCACCTTGTGGCGCCTGTTTCTGACTGACCAGCTATAAATCAGGGTTCCCATGACTCTCTCATCAGGTTCAATTAATCTGCTAGAGCATCTCGCAGAACTCAGAGAAACACTTTATTTATGTTTACCTGCTTATTATAAAGGGTATTACAAAAGATATAGACGAACAGCCAGATGGGAAAGCTGCATAGGGCAGCGTATGTGGGACCAAATAGGGAGTTTTCGTGCCCTCTCCTGGAACACCACCCTCCAGGAACTGCCACATCAAAAGTTCATCCCAACTCTGTCCTTTTTAGTTTTTATGGAAACTTCATTAAGTGGCCAAGATTGATTAAATCATTGGCCATTGGTGACTGACTCACCCATCAGCCCCTCTCCCCTCTCTGGAGGTTGGGGATGGTGCTGAAAGTCTCAGACCTCTAATCCAGCCACCATCCTGAAGCTGTATGGGGACCCCCAGCCACCAGTTGTCTCATTAGCATACAAAAGATACTGTTACCACTCCAGAGATTCCAAAAGTTTTAGGAGCTGCGTGTCAAAAACCAGGGCAGAATCCAAATGTATGTTTATTTTTTTAAATCTTTTAATAGAAATGAGGTATTGCTATATTGCCCAATCTGGTCTTGAATTCCTGGCCTCAAATGATCTTCCTGCCTCAGCATCTCAAAATGTTGGGATTACAGACATGAGCCACCACATGGGCCTTTTTTTTTTTTTTTTTTTTGAGACAGGAGCTCGCTGTTAGCCCAGGCTGGAAATCTTGGCTCACTGCAGCCTCAACCTTCTCAGCTTCAGGTGATCCTCCCACCTCAGCCTCCTAAGTAGCTAGGACTACAGGCATGTACCACCATGCCCAGCTAATTTTTGTATTTGTATTAAAGTCAGGGTTTCACCATGTTGTCCAGGCTGGTCTTTAACTCCTGAACTCAAGCAATCTGCCTGCCGTGGCCTCCCAAAGTGCTGGAAATACAGGTGTGAGCCACCACACCCAACCCCAGCCATTTTTTTTTTAATGGGACAGGGTCTCACTTTATTGCCCACATTGGACTTGAACTCCTGACCTCAAGCAATTCTGCTGCTTCAGCCTCCCAAAGTGCTAGGATTACAGGTGTGAGAGCCACCACACCCAGCTCCCCACCATATTTTTTAAATCACAATATCACAACAGTTTAAGACAAAATAAAAATGTTATTAGTCATTTATTTTGTTCATATAACAAAACCCTATGATACATTTAAGTGCATTTCTTCACGTTTCTTTTTGAATCATACATTTTGAGGTTTAATATTCATAATATTCACCTGGCGCAGTGGCTCACACATGTAATTTTAGCACTTTGGGAGGCCGAGGTGGGCAGATCACAAGGTCAGGAGTTTGAGACCAGCCGAACCAACATGATGAAACCCCATCTTTACTAAAAATGTAAAAATTAGCCTGGCATGGTGGCGAGTGCCATTGTAGTTCACTGTAACCTTGAACTTCTGTGCTTAAGCAATCCTCCCACCTCAGCCTCCTGAGCAACCAGGGCTACAGGTGTGCACCACCATGCCTGGCGAATTTTGTTTTTAATATTTCATAGAGACAGGGTCTTGCTGTGTTGCCCAGGATGGCATCAAACTCCTAGCCTCAAGTGATTCTCCCACCTCAGCCTCCCAAAGTGCTGCGATCACAGGTGTGTGCTGCCACACCTGGCCAAGATGGAGTATTTCTCTAACCTCATCCAACAGAGTTTATTATTTAGTTTATCTTCTTTGGTTATATGTATTTTAAATCACATTTTGTGTCAGCTATTGCTTCTCTCTAGAAACATATTTTTAAGTTGTTCACATCTTCTCTAACACCATGGAATTTTAGCTGAGTTTTGGTCACATGTAAATTTAATAACATTGCATAATAAGATTTTCCTTTTATAGTATATTAGTTGTATTATGCCCATGTTTTCCAGCAGTTTTTTTTTTTTTTTGTTTCATGAAATGTGTTAGTCTTCTAGGCAGTATACTGTTTCTACAGTAGGTGGCAGCAATTTCAAATTTCAGATTTATACCATATTAAGGGAGAGCAAATATTAATGCTGGGGCTTTTTTCCCTTTTAAAACTTTTCGACTCTAGGAATGATTGGACCTGCCATATTCTTGGTAGCTGCTGGCTTCATTGGCTGTGATTATTCTTTAGCCGTTGCTTTCCTAACTATATCAACAACACTGGGAGGCTTTTGCTCTTCTGGATTTAGCATCAACCATCTGGATATTGCTCCTTCGTGAGTACTAATATAAAGATTTGCTGTGATTTATTTTAAATTATTATTTTAAAAAATTATAAGTAACATAAAATTGGTTCAGCAGCCATCCAGCCAGAAGAAGGTGGTAAGCCACCCACTCCATTTAATGAATCTGAAAAGTAGCGCTGGGCGCGGTGGCTCACGCCTATAATCCCAGCACTCTGGGAGGCTGAGGCAAGCAGATCACCTGAGGTCAGGAGTTCGAAACCAGCCTGACCAATATGGTGAAACCCTGTCTTTAAAAAGAAAGAAAGAAAGAAAAGTAGCTTAAGATTTATCAGGTTCCTGAAGTTTTGTCAGAATCTCTGGAATCTGATGAGGGCCTCCCAGCCTGCTCTCTTAAACTGTCAATGAAAGAAAATTGGATCATCAGATAAAAATTAGAGCTACTGTCACCGGGTGCAATGTCTCACGCCTGTAATCCCAGCACTTTGGGAGACTAAGGAGGGCAGATCACCTGAGGTTAGGAGTTCAAGACCAGCCTGGCCAACATGATGAAACCCTTTCTCTACTAAAAATACAAAATTAGCCAGGCGGGGTGGCAGGCGACTGTAATCCTAGCTGCTAGGGAGGATGAGACACGAGAATCACTTGAACTTGGGAGGTGGAGGTTACAGTGAGCCATTGCACTCCAGCCTGGGCAACAAGAGTGAAAGTCCATCTCAAAAAAAAAAAATTAGAGCTATTGTCAAGAGATGAAAATAGGTACTGAAGAAAAAAAATTAAAAAACAAATATTCATGGTATCTACCTTACAAGATCATTGTGAGGATTAAATAGAGCACACACACAACCCTTTGCTCATAATGCAATAAATGTATTTGCATATAACACAGTAAATATAATTATTATTTTCTGGCTAACTTTGAGTCAGGTGTGGTGACCAGGGTCACAGATCAATCCAAGTAAAATATTAAAGTGATGATTGGTGTGCTTTCAGAAAAGAAAATGCTGACCACTAAAGAGCCACCACTGGGTCACTAGAGCCAAAATGACAAAACAGTCTAATTTCTCAACATCATTTTTAGCCTGATACAATAAAGAAAATATAGATTTGATATGGATAGTCAGGACTTCAGCCAGGTCTCCTATGATAGATACCCTTTGGACAAGGTAGAGAGACATGAATTGGATGTACAATTAGATAAATTTATCACTACTAAAGTTCAGTATACTAGCATGCTGATTCATGGAACTAGTCATTTGAGAAGCACTGTGCCAGGCACTGTACCAGATGTTGAAGACACAAACATGAAAGTAACATGATTCCTGCGTGCATCTGTGTAAGCATAAGCTGGCCTGAAGGATGATGGGTCATGTCATGAAGTGTATGCTGGACAGGCAGCAGGTGGGATCCTATGCCTCAGCTTTAAGCATCAGGTGGGTGGTTGAACTCTACATCTTAAAGACCCAGTTCCAACCCTGAAATTTTATGAGTCTCATAAGTTAAAAAAGACATTTATCTAGATATCATATGAAGCTAAACAGTTTTAGCAACATAAATGATACAAGCAAATAGTTGTAGCAGTTAGGAGGATGGTAAGCAAGTGCCTTTATGCCTCAGGTAACGAGGGCTGCTGTACTTGCTCTCTGAGACACAGCTATTCAAATGTAAGTAGGTCAGGCACGGGAGATGGCAGTAAGCAGAGAGCACTACTGCACTCCAGCCTAGGCTACAGAGCAAGGCTCAGTCTCAAAAAAGAAGTAAGTTAATCTGATCAAAGTCAAAAATTTTTTCTAATGATTTTTTTAAGATGAAGTTTCACTCTTGTCCAGGCTGGAGTCCAGTGGTAAAATCTCAACTCACTGCAACCTCTGCCTCCCAGGTTCAAGCAATTCTCCTGCCTCAGCCTCCCAAGTAGCTGGGATTATAGGCATGAGCCACCACGCCTGGCTAATTTTGCATTTTTAGTAGAGACAGGTTTTCTCCATGTTGGTCAGGCTAGTCTCAAACTCCTGACCTCAGGTGATCTTGGCCTCCCAAAGTGCTGGGATTACAGGGGTGAGCCACCACACCCAGCCCAAAGTCAAAATTATTAATCTCCGTGTGTGTGTGTATTTTTTTAAACTTTGCAGTTCTAGTTAAAAGGAACGCTCCCTTATATTTTGATTCAGCCCGTCAGATCAGCTTTCTAGTTTTTCTTTTCCAACTGGAATTTCTTGGTTCAAAGCACACCAGTTTTTTCTAGTTCCCAGAGTCTTGGCTACCTATCTTGTTGGGGGTTACATATCTTATGTTTTTCTTAGTAGCTCTTTGTCGTGGTAACAACTAAGTGCCCATTCAGTGTAACACTCTGCTAGTTAGAACAGGAGCACTTGAGGACCATAAACAATTCAACACCAGGGCTTGTGGTGAAAAACCAAGCATAAGAAAATTTATCTTTCCTATGGACTGGGTTCAGTGAGTACTGTTTGTGTTTTTGTTTTTGTTTTTTTTAACAAGATAGCATTGTAGATTATAACATTATAATATTAAGTACTGATTTAGAATCAGACAAATTGGGTGACATTTTATTGTTTTTCTTTATTTATAAAATGAAGTTAATCTGTCTGGGTGCAGTGGCTCATGCCTGTAATCCCAAGACTTTGGAAGGCTAAGACTGGGAGGATCTTTTGGGACTAGCAGTTTGAGACCAGTCTGGGCAATATAGCAAGACCCTGTCTCTAAAAATACAAATAAAATTTTTAAATTAACACAATTAAATGGGCCAGGCATGGTGGCTCATGCCTGTAATCCCAGCAATTTGGGAGGCTGAGGCGGGCAGATCACGAGGTCAGGAGTTCGAGACCAGCCTGACCAACATGGTGAAACCTGGTCTCTACTAAAAATACAAAAAAATTAGCCAGGCGTGGTGGCATGCACCTGTAATCCCAGCTACTCAGGAGGCCGAGGCAAGGGAATTGCTCAGCTCACTGCAACCTCCACCTCTTGGGTTCAAGCGATTCTCCTGCCTCAGACTCCCCAGTAGCTGGGACTATAGGTATGTGCCACAATGCCTGGCTAACTGTTTTATATTTTTAGTAGGGATGGGGTTTCACCATGTTGGTCAGGCTGGTCTCAAACTCCTGACCTCAGGTGATTCACGCGCCTCGGCCTCCCAAAGTGCTGGGATTACAGGCATGAGCCACCATGCCCAGCCTCAAAATAGAGATTTTCTATGGTAATTTTGTTACCCGGATCATAGGAATTAGATAGATTTTCAGCTATTAATTCCAATAGTACTCTAACAGCACAGAATCCAGACTGAGTCCATGCAATCTGTTTTATTCCAAGCAGTCATCAATCTTTCATGGCCAAGTGAAATATAAGTACTTGAATGAATTTCTTGGTGCTGACATTTAGAATTTCACGGCATTCGTCTGCACTTAATATCTGTCACTGGAAATGCTGGCAGCATTGCAGTTGGTTCCTCTTACTGCCAAGGTGTTAATGGTTTAAAAAAAAAAAAAAAAAAAAAGGCAGGCTCTGCCAAGCTTGGTTAATTTAAGATACACTCCCTAAAGGGGATAAGCCAAAAAGATCTGTGCCTCGTGGTTTTGTTATGGTGCTGCGTATGCAAGAGTTTTGAACATAAAAATGTGTGATCTTTATATATAACTGAATTCGTTAAGCAGAATTTTTTATTTAGACATCTTTCCATCCCAAATGGGGAGCAGTTTCAGATAAGTAGTCTACAACTGAGGATCCAAAATTCTAATAGAAATTGGGTTATTCCACATTGACAGTGTGAATTAATAAAATATCAAGCTTCTTTAATTTTGACTGGAATTGTATAATACTACTAATTATCTCACAAAACATTTAAAGCTCTAATTGGACTTTATATATGTCTAAGTGATTTTTATGAAAAAGTAATAAATGCCATTTAGTTGCTTAACTAAGTTTTTTTTTAACTGAACTCCTCTACCACCTTTAAGGTTTTTTTACCAAAAATACTAAATCTAAATCTAAATCTAATGAACCCCCTAGGATCTAGAGTCTAGCCACTATCAGTATACAGGAAATACAGGGGGTATAAGATTACGTGAAATGATACCTGAGAGATACCATCTTCAAAGTCCAGAATTCATGACTATATATAGGACACACATCCAAGTAAAAATACAGCAGTTTTAGGCCAGGCACAGTGGCTCATGCCTGTAACCCCAGCACTTTGGGAGTCCAAGGCAGGCAGATCATGTGAGGTCAGGAGTTCGAGACCAGCCTGACCAACATGGCGAAACCCCATCTCTATTAAAAATATATATATCTACAAAAAATTAGCTGACGAGGTGGCAGGCACCTGCAATCCAGCTACTTGGGAGGCTGAGACAGGAGAATTGGGAGGCTGAGAAAGGAGAATTGTTTGAACTCCGGAACTTGGGAGGTGGAGGTTGCAGTGAGGCACGATTGTGCCACTGCACTCTGCCGGGTGACAGAGCAAGACTCTATCTCAATCAATCAATCAATGGCCGGGCGCAGTGGCACACACCTGTAATCCAAGCACTTTGGGAGGCCAAGATGAGCAGATCACTTGAGATCAGGCGTTCAAGTCCAGCCTGGCCAACATGGTGAAACCTCATCTCGACTAAAATTACAAAAAGTAGCTGGGTGTGGTGGCGGGTACCTGTAGTCGCAGCTACTTGGGAGGCTGAGGCAGGAGAATCGCTTGAACCCAGGAGGCGGAGGTTGCAATGAGCCAAGATCATGCCACTGCACTCCAGCCTTGGTGACAGAGTGAGACTCTGTCTCAAAAAAAAAAAAATTATTAATACACACAACAGTTTGGAATAATAGTACCCCTAGCATGTAATCCAAAATGTTACATTCTGTATTATTCTGTTCATATAAAATTCCTGATCAGGAATTGTCACTCTTTGGAGCAGTGCGCTACAGGAGTTCTAGTCTGTATGGAAAAATCTCCAGTGGTCTGTGCAGTCAGAGCCCCATGGTTCAGTGCATAGGGCCTAGATTAGTGTGAGTCACACAATACCTCTCTTTAGTCAGCATATATTGAATGAGCACACGTGTTGTACTGGGCACTGAATATAATGAAGGGAAATAAAACATGCCTCTTCAATGAGATCATGGAGTCAGAATTAACGAATTTGAATTAGAGGACTTATATCTTAAAACACATAATACTAGCTTAAAGGACAATAAAGATTCTGAGAGGACAGCTTCACTATGAGCTGATCAAGACAGACAGCTTCATGGAAGAAGCACCAAACAAGTGGTTAGGATGGAAGTTGAGTGGAGTTCAGGCAGCAGGTATAGTGTTAGTAAAGAAAGTAGCAGGAATGAACATGACAGATGTGAGCAGCTGGAATGAGAGCTGTCTGGATCTGAAGGAGTGATTGCACAGTGCTAGGAAATAAGGCTGTGTAGATGGACCAAGGCCAGGCCACTGTAAATCAGGCAGAAGATTGCGGTCTTCTGAAAGTAAGAGTTAAACCATCCTAGTAGGTTTTTTGGTAGAGAGGGGTGACCTGACTATTCAGATGAAGGCTTATACAGTTTGAGAGGTAGTTCAACCACATGGAAAATGTCCTTAAAAATGTGTATACCAGTAGGTTCTAGTTCTTGATCAGATGCTAGTGACGTGGTTGTGTTCACTTTGTGAAAATTCAGCAAGCGGTACACTGATGGTTTGTACACTTTTCCATGTGTATTTTACACTCAAATGAATTGTTTTAGTATATCTGATAGAGTGTGAGGGAGCTCACGGTTGACATGTTATATGTATACATCTGTGAACCAATGGATAATAAGGGAAATAATAGGCCAGGCATGGTGGCTCACACCTGTAATCCCAGCACTTTGGGAGGCCAACGTGGGCAGATCACCTGAGGCCAGGAGTTCAAGACCAGCCTGGCCAATATGGCAAAACACCATCTCTACTAAAAATACAAAAAATTAGCTGGGCATGGTGGTGGGTGCCTGTAATCCCAGCTACTCAGGAGGCTGAGGAAGGGAAAATTGCTTGAACCTGAAAGGCGGAGGCTGCAGTAAGTCAAGATCGTGCCCTTGCACTCCAGCCTGGGCAACAGAGAGAGACTCCATCTCAAAAAAAATAAAAAGAAATAAAAATGCATCACTAACTTGCCCAAGGTCACATAGATTGTTAATGGTGGAGCTGAGTCGGGAATCTCAATTTCCTGATAATCAGTTTAATATGACTTTTTAATAGAAAATGATAGGTATTTCATTCCTTTTTATGACGGTACTTACTCAAGATCTTGGCTAAGGTAACATTTCTTATTCTACATACATTCCTTATATAGTAAAGAAATCAATAGGTTATTAGTATTTTCCAAATACAGGCAAAAATTCTGTAAAGATTTGCATGTAGACGTAGAGAGGACTATCCCGTTCCCTATGATTCACTTAAAATAAATCATTGCATTTGAGAAACTTTTTCCAAACTTATTTAAAATGCCCTTTTTATTCATACCCATACACACAATGTAGACCCAACTTGTCTTCTTTTCGGACAGCACACAGTAATTTACCTATAAGCACATGTGTAAGTAATGGAACAAGTAAATTGTATGTTTGATATGATCTCATGTCTATAATAATATACTAAAAATATATAGAGATAGAAAAAAATATTAGGATATTTATGAAAATGTTAATGTTGATTATCTCTATAAGGAAGAATTAAAGGAATTTTATTTCCTTATTGTTTTTCTTTTATTAATTTTCAAAAATTAATTACAATTGAATTTTCAAATCAGGAAAGAAATTCTTTAACCTAAAAAACTTCAGGCTAGACATGTCAAACTGTCTGTATGAAAATGAGATCTCAGAACTTTCTCCTACATCATTATAAAAGGGATTATTTCAACGGCTGTGTTCCTCTATGTAATGTTAAAATGCTACTTAACTATTGAAATGCAGGTTTTTCACCAGCTGAATATGAAATCCCATTTCAATAAGACATTTTATTTAGACATAAAATTTCACAGGAACACAACCTGAGAGCAGAATAGCTGTCTACTGAAGGAAGCGGCCAGGTGCGGTGGCTCACACTTGTAATCCCGGCACTTTGGGAGGCTGAAGCAGGCAGATCACTTGAGGTCAGGAGCTCAAGACCAGCCTGGCCAGCATGGTGAAACCCCAGTTCTACTAAAAATACAAAATTAGCTGAGCATGGTGGTGCATGCCTATAGTCCCAGCTACTTGGGAAGCTAAGGCACACTTGAACCCAGGAGGCAGAGGCTGCAGTGAGCCAAGAACATGCCACTGCACTCCAGCCTGGATGACAGAGTGAGACTCTGTCTCAAAGAGAAAAGAAAGAAGCTGTTTAAATGTATAACACAATAATAAACTTCTATGAAAATGTTTCTACAGGTATGCTGGTATCCTCCTGGGCATCACAAATACATTTGCCACTATTCCAGGAATGGTTGGGCCTGTCATTGCTAAAAGTTTGACCCCTGAGGTAAGTAGATAATTTACTTGTAAACTGAAAGGGTTTTGGAACTGCACATCTGAGTCAAAGTTCAGTGTATTTTCATTAAGAGTAAAATTATAAATGTTTTTATGAAATTCTTTATAGCAACAAAAAAATAAATGCCTTACTAGATGAGAAAGTATATTTTCGAAGAACACTTTTTAGATTTTAGACAAAACAGTAGAACTAAGTCAAATGAAGATCTTGCGGCTGAAACTACACCAGTAGTTAAAGTTGTGATATTATACCAGACAAGTAATTTTTGTCTTTGATTTGAACAAATAAAAAGTGGCAATGTAAAATTATTTAAAAAGTGAGCCCATGAAGGTGAGGTATCAGGAAATCATGTGAGAATTAATGAGGAAAAGTTGAAATAACCAAGAATGTTTAGAGGGCCAGAAAACTCAGGAAGACATAAAAGGTGTCTGCATATATTTGAAGGGCTACTAAATGTTAAGATGGAGACTTATTCTCAGCAGATCCACAAAGACAGATTGAGAGAAGTTATGAGGAGACATTAGGAAGATTCTTTGTTCAAAGCTGTTCCTTTATGGAATGAGCCACCTTAAGGGTTAGTAACCCCTGAAACAAGCAAACACTTATTCAACAGGCATTTCTTAGGTGCTTATTAATATGCTAGATATATGGCCGGGTGAGGTGGCTCATGCCTGTAATCCCAGCATTTTTGGAGGCTAAGGCAGGCGGCAGATCACCCCAGGTCAGGAGTTTGAGGCCAGCTTGGCTAACATGGTGAAACCCCATTTCTACTAAAAATATAAAAAATTAGCCAGGCTGGTGGCACGTGCCTGCAATCCCAGCTACTCAGGAGGCTGAGGCAGGAGAATCGCTTGAACCTGGGAGGTGGAGGTTGCAGTAAGCTGAGATCACACCATAGCACTCCAACCTGGGCAACAAGAGCGAAACTCCAGCTCAAAAAATAAATAAATAACATGCTAGATACTGAGGACTGAAAAACAAAACAGCAAGCTGCTTCTACATTTAAGAAACTTACCATTTGGAAATTTTCTGTAATCAAATTGTTAAAGTACAGTGTGACATGTGCTGCAGGAAAAATGTGTGTGGGGAGTGCTTGGTAAGTGAGGAGGGAATAGCCTCTCTGTTCCTGGGGAAGGAGCCCACAAGAGTGAGCCAGGTGGTGTGGTAGGCTGGGCACACCAGCCTGTGCAAGAGCACCAAGCCCTTATGGGGATGGTGGGCCCAGGGTTGGTAGCCCTGAAACTGAAAGGCAACACAGGCCAGATCTGTAAGCAGAGCATTTTGTTTTTGTTTTTGTTTTTTGGCACTAAGTCTTGCTCTGCCGCCCAGGCTGGAGTGCAATGGCACCATCTCGGCTCACTACAACCTCCGCCTCCTGGGTTCAAGCAATTCTCCTGCCTCAGCCTTCCATACAGAGCATATTTAAAGGGTCGCCTTCACTATGTAAGAAATAAAAATAAATTGCCAGGCACAGAGGCTTATGCCTGTAACCTCAGCACTTTGGGAGCCGAGATGGGCAGATCACCTGAGGTCAGGAGTTCGAGACCAGCCTGGCCAACATGGTGAAACCCCATTGGGTTTCTACTAAAAATACAAAAAATTAGCTGGGCATGGTGACTTGAGCCTATAATCCCAGCTACTTGGAAGGCTGAGGCAAGAGAATCACTTGAACTTAAGAGGTGGAGTTTGCAGTGAGCCAAGATTATACCATTGTACTCCAGCCTGGGCGAAAAGAGTGAAGCTCTGTCTCAAAAAATAAATAAATAAATAAATAAAAATGACCTCAAAGGCCCCTTTCAACTTTAATTTTCTACCATTCAAAAAAAGGTATGTATATAAGATATTCTTTAAGAGGCTAACTCAAGCCTCTAGAAGAGGTAATTTTCTGTTTTGTCTCTGTGATCAAATTAACACCATGTATAATCCTTAAAATTTCAGGACACACTTACAGACTTTACCAAATATACTGATTTCATACATACATGTGTTCCCACAGATAGTGTACCTGTTTCTTCTCCACATCCACCATTTCTAATTCCTTAAGTGACATAGTACCTCCATGTTACTATTTTCTTTCACTTAATAAAAAGGAACATTGTAGAAATGTTTTTTCTAATTATATTTTTAGGTATGTGGGAGGCTGAGGCAGGAGAATCATTTGAACCTAGGAGGCTGGTCTCAATATAGACACATCCAAAATGTTTAACCTTGTCCTTATGGAGCAGGGTGGCAACACCAGAACCTAAATCAGCATACTACCATGTGTTCATTTCACTTACTAATAATGCCAGCACTTCTGCTAGGGAAATATGGATTCCTGAAGCAAAGTCTTCTATGTTTACAAGGGGGAACTGAGCTCGATTTGGGATATGTTATAGCATTTGTTTAATGCTATTAAAAGAATATCACTGTTTAGCTGGGTGTGGTTCGAATCTGTCCCAGCTACTTAGGAGGCTGAGGCAGGAGGATGCATGAGCCCAGGGGTTTGAACCTGCAGTGAGCTATGATCATGTCTCTGCACTCTAGCCTGGGTGACAGCGGGAGACCCTGTCTCAAAAAAATAAATAAAACTTACTTTATATTATTTATTTATTTTCGAGATGGAGTTACACTCTGTTGCCCAGGCTAGAGTACAGTGGTGCAGTCTCAGCTCCACCTCCCAAGTTCAAGCAATTCTCCTGCCTCAGCCTCTCGAGCAGCTGGGACTATAGGCTAATTTTTGTTTTTGTTTTTGTTTTTGTTTTTGTTTTTGTTTTGAGATGGAGTCTCACTCTGTTGTGCAGGCTGGAATGTAGTGGCATGATCTCGGCTCACTGTAACCTTCACCTCCTGGGCTCAAATGATTCTCCTGCCTCAGCCTCCCACATACCTAAAAATATAAAAATAAGTGTGCCACCATACCCGGCTAATTTTTGTATTTTTAGTAGAGACGGGGTTTCACCATGTTGGCCAGGCTGGTCTCAAACTCCTGACCTCAAGTGATCCGCCTGCCTCAGCCTCCTAAAGTGCTGGAATTGCAGGTGTTAGCAACCATGCCCAGCCTGTACTTTCTTACTTTATGGAATAGGCACTGCCTCAAAAACTTTATGGAGTGAGTCAGCATATAAATAAATAATGCAATAATTAAAATTCAAAGTGTGTCTGAGGTTCAACATTGTTATAAACAAAACAGTATTCTCTAAAAACTGGTAGAATTTTTGTTAAAAAACAAACCAGGAGCTGTGTGAGACTTCTAGTACAATGATTGATTTTAAGTTCACTCATTGCCTTCAGATAACACTGAAGTATTCTTTTATCCCAGAGACCACACAGGCAGCTTTGTCTTGGTAATCCTAAGAAGCTGTTTCAAACATTTCTTTCTGGTATAAGATGTAATTATTGACGGATTCCTCACCAAAAGTTAAGACGAGTATCTAAGTTTTTTTTTTCACTAAAATGCATTCATCTCAGATGAGTATAACCACCACAGGGCGTTCCTTTCTTCATGTTTCTCCTTTCTTCCCAAATAAATGATCTCATACTGGCTTCCCAGCGCCTGCTCTTTCACTTCCTCACTGCTAGTTCTGCTGCTTGTTTGTTTGGGGGTTTTGTTTGTTTTTTTGAGACACGCTCTCACTCTGTTGCCCAGGCTAGAGTGCAGTGGCGCACTCATGGCTCACTGCAGCCTCAACTGCCCCAGGCTCAGGTGATCCTCTCACCCCAGCCTCCTAAGTAGCTGGGACTGCAGGTGTGCGCCACCATGTCTGGCTAATTTTTTTTATTTTTTTGTAGAGATGGGGTTTCACCGCCTTCCCCAGGCTGGTCTCAAACTCCTGAACTCAACGTATCCACCTACCTCAGCCTCCCAAAGTGCTGGGATTACAGGTGTGAGCCATCATGCCTGGCCTACTTGTTTTTTGTTTTTTTTTAATGCTGCAAATGTAGTCACTCTGGTTAGACTGAAATCAGAAATTTAGATAACCGTCTGATATTTTTATGCCACAGGGATACACACTGAACAGTTGTCTTATGACAGATCCCATGTATATCCTGCTTTGTGTGCCACTCAAGATCTTTTACACTTGCTACAATGTCCCAGATCCTCAACGCTGCACTCGAGTTCATCTTAACCATATTTACTTGATCCACCTGACACCTTTCACTTAAGAACTTGGGAGACCGTGCACAGGCAAACACTTTCTTAGTGTTAGTTAGTGTCATTCAGGCAGGATGGAGGGACATGCCCGTACACTTTTTATTGAAGTATGTCTGTCTATCCTCAGTAAACTTTTTATTGAAGTATAACTTTTTTTTAAATGTACAAATCCAAGCCAGGCGTGGTGGCTCAAATCTGTAATACCATCACTGTGGAAGGCCAAGGCAAGCAGATCGCTTGAACCCAGAAGTTCAAGACCAGCCTGGGCAACATGGTGAAACCCTATCTCTACTAAAATATGTATATATTAACTGGGCATGGTAGCATGCACCTCTAATCCCAGCTCCTTGGAAGGCTGTGTTGGGAGGACTGCCTCAGCCCAGGAAGTGGAGGCTGCAGTGAGCCAAGATTGCACACTATTCCAGCCTGGGTGACAGAGTGAGACTCTGTCTGAAAAATAAAACCAAAAATAAATAAATGTGCAAATCTAAAGTGTACAGCTAGATGACTTTCCACAAAGTTAATACATCTGTGTAGCCCGGCGCAGTGGCTCACACCTGTAATCCCAACACTTTGGGAGGCCGAGATGGGTGAATCACAAGGTCAGGAGTTCAAGACCAGCCTGGCCAAGATGTTGAGACCCGCTCTCTACTAAAAATACAAAAATTAGCCGGGCACGGTGGCATGTGCCTGTGATCTCAGCTACTCAGGAGGCTGAGGCAGGGAATTGCTTAGCCGAGATTGTGCCACTGCACTCCAGTCTGGGTGACAGAGCAAGGCTCCAGCTCAAAAAAAAAAATTTTTTTAATACATCTGTGTAGCCAGCACCCAATCAAGAAACAGAATCTTACCTCCCTCAGTAAGCCCCCAGGTACCTCTTCCTGCTATTTTTTCTTCACCCTCACCAAGAGAAACCACTCTCCCGACTTTTAACCCTGTAGATGAATATGGTCTGACTTTGTGCTTTATATTCATGGAATCATTCAGTATGTACTCTTTTTGTCTGGTTTCTTTTGCTTCACATTTTGTTTGTGAGCTGTATTTATGATGTTGTAGCCCATTCTCATTGCTGTGTCATATTCCATTGAGCAGATATACCACAATCCTACCGCTGGTGGATATCTGGGTTGTTTCAAGGATAAGGCTTTTATTAATAACGTTGCTGTTTTAACAGTCTTGTGACACTACCTTTTTAGTGAACTACAAACAAAATTTCACTTCATTTGGATTTCTTTTCTTTTCTTTTCTTATAGAACACTGTTGGAGAATGGCAAACCGTGTTCTATATTGCTGCAGTTATTAACGTTTTTGGTGCCATTTTCTTTACACTATTCGGCAAAGGCGAAGTACAAAGCTGGGCTCTCAATGATCACCATGGACATAGACACTGAAGGAACCAATAAAAAATCCTGCCTCTATTGATGTATTTTTATGTATCAGGTAACCTCAAAGTGCCTTCAGTATTTTGTTGTGTAAGCATTCTCTGTTTTTTTAATTGTATTAGATTTTTAAGACCTATAATCATGAAATGTCACTAGTTGCCAGATTAATAAAATGAACTATATTTAATTATGAATAATATATATGCTAGGACTTCTACTGTAGGTTCACATACCTGCCTGCAAGTTGGGCAACACGAAGTAGGAGAGTTCTATTGATTTTTTAGGGCCATACTTAAGGGAATGGGCTGAAACAGACCTCCTAACCTTGGCTTAATGACACTAGTTGATAATTCTCAGGTATTGATAAACACCTGTTTTTGTCCACTTTCCTCATAAAAATTGTTGGCTCTGACACTTAGATCTCAAACTTTAGCATCTCCGTGGAGCTGCCAGCCACCGTATAATTTGGCCTGGCAACCGTACTGAGGGGAGTGTGCCCAGGCAGCTGCCAAGCACTCCCTCCTTGGCTTCAGGGCCAGAGTGCCCAGCATTTATCAGAGGCAGCATCCAAGCTCAGAGCCTGTGTTCACTCTTCGGCTGGTGCCTTTCCTCTGAGGGGCTATTAATGTGTCAATAAAGTCTTGAGAAGGCAGGAGCAGTGAGATCCACTGCTGTGGTCTTGATGCCTCCTCAAATTTTCCCTTCCCAGCACAGAGGAATATCGGCTGCATGCAGCCTGCAAAAGAAAAATCTGATGTGCAGTCAATCACAAATAAGATCATACTGGTTTAAATCTACTCTCACATGGACCACACTATAAATGTCTAAGTGCTGTGTTTGTTTGTTGGTATTTTGTAAAGACAGGGTCTCACTTTGTTGCCCAGACTGGTTTTGAACTCCCAGCTTCAAGCCATCCTCCTGCCTCGGCCTCACAAAGTGTTGGGACCACAGGCATGAGATACTGTGCCCAGCCTGTTCTGTGGTTTTTAAGCTGCACGAGAATTGTTTTTTAAATTAACTCTCATTGTGTGTTCAGTCTGTCTTCATCTAAATTTGCAGTTGCAGTTTAAAGTAAAAGACCACATCACCTGAGACTAGGGTCGTCATCTTTACTTCTGGTTCCTGAAATCATATTTTTCCAGTGGACCATCCTCCAGTGGTTGTAGTTGTTGAGCATGCTTTCAGAGCACCTATATGATTTAAAACTTAGTTTATGTTTTGTGTTCAACACTACCTGTAATGTTTTAATTAAAACTGTTTAATGTGACTTGAATAATTTATGTAAATTCATTTTTAAATTTGTAAATAGCTTTAAATTGCTATTGCAATGTTTCTTTTATAAATCATCAAAATAAACCTTTCTGAATTACTTTTTGGGTCTGACAGTTCTGTGATATTTCCTAGTGTCCATAGTGACCATTTGACATTTTTTCTGCATCCTGTTCAAGCTACCACAAAGCTGAGGAACTTGGGCCTCCTAAGGGATACAGCATCAGGAATTTCTGTTGCCATCAACCTGCCAAGAAGGATTCATTCAAGAAGGATGAATAGGGTCCATCCTTCTTCCTACAGCATATGCCCACACTACACTGATTATCTCTCTCCCACCTCCTCTAAGGACTTGCTTCAGTAATTCTTCTTTTTGTAAATAATTGAGCTAGAGTCTTGCTTTGTTGCCCAAGCTGGGCTCAAGCGATCCTCCTGCCTCAGCCTCCCAAGTAGCTAGCACTACACAGGCATGTGCTATCATGCCCAGTTAGTAGTTCCTCTTTCATTTACTTCTTCAGACTCTCCCCTTGTTCTTTCCCTTCTGTCACAGAGATGCACACGTCTTCTCTAGTCCTTAAATAAAAATACAAAAGTCTCCTGGGGACATTAAATCATAAGTGTACAGAATATCTCTAAGATAACACTCAAACTAGTAAAGATAGTGTGATGATTGATAGACAGATAGAGATAGAGATTTTCATTCATGGTACTTGGTTCCTGGCTCTTAACTCCCATAGCTCCTGTTATAATGTTGGGCCCCTTTAGGCCTCAGAAGCAGCCTCAGCAAACAGAATCTCTCTGATCCTCTCCTGCCCTTCTTTCACCTGCTGCTTTTTCTCCCAAAGCAGGAATCTTCCCCCATTCTGTCTTGGAACTGGTCATAAAGAAGTTCTTGGCCAGGCACGGTGGCTCATGCCTGTGATCCCAGCATTTTGGGACGCCAAGGCAGGTGGATCACAAGGTTAGGAGTTCGAGACAAGTTTGGCCAACATAGTGAAACCCTGTCTCTACTGAAAATGAAAAAATTAGCTGAACATGGTGGTAGGCACCTGTGATCCCAGCTACTCTGGAGGCTAAGGCAGGAGAACAGCTTGAACCTGGGAGGCAGAGGTTACAGTGAGCTGAGATCGCACCACTGTACTACGGCCCATGCAACAGTGCAAGACTCCATCTCAAAAAAAAAAAAAAAATTCTGGCCAGGTGCAGTGGCTCATGCTTGTAATCCCAGCACTTTAAGAGGCCAAGGTGGGCAGATCGATCACGAGGTCAGGAGATCAAGACCATCCCAGCTAACAAGGTGAAACCCTGTCTCTAATAAAAAAAATATATACAAAAAATTAGCTGGGCATGGTGGCACATACCTGTAGTGCCAGCTACTCAGGAGGCTGAGGCAGGAGAATAACTTGAACCCAGCAGGCAGAGGTTGCAGTGAGCTGAGATCGTGCCATTGTACTCCAGGCTGGGTAACAGAGTGACACTCGGTCTCAAAAAAAAAAAAAAACATTCTGTGGTCTACCTTGTTGGATTGTAGGTTACAAGACCCCATGCCCGCATTTGAGAAGAGGTCCTCTTCATATCCTGGAGGAAGAAATGCTGCCAAGAAGAATCTGGATAGGACTTGCTGGGTTTCCCTGTGAGTCTATCAGTATTAGATCATACCCTTTCTGTTCAATCACATTTCTATATGGTTGTTAATCATGACTATCCAAATGAAGTCTCCATATAAGACCTAATAAGACAGGGTTGGGGAGCCTCCTGAGAGCTGAACACACGGAGGTTCCTGGAGGGTGGCATGCCCAGAGAGGGCATGGAAGCTCCTCATCCCTTCCCCCAGACATTGCCATATGCATCTCTTCATCCGTGTCCTTGGTAATATCCTTTTTTTTTTTTCTGAGACAGAGTCTTGCTCTGTTGCCCAGGCTGGAGTGCCAGTGGCATGATCTCAGCTCACTGCAACCTCTGCCTCCCAGGTTCAAGTGATTCTCCTACCTCAGCCTCCAGAGTATCTGGGATTACAGGCACACACCACCACGCCTGGCTAATTTTAGTATTTTTATTATAGACGAGGTTTCGCCATATTGGCCAGGCTGGTCTCGAACTCGTGACCTCAGATGATCCACATGCCTCGGTCTCCCAAAGTATGGGATTACAGGCATGAGCCACTGTACCCAGCCTATAATATCCTTTACAATAAACCGATAAATGTGTTTTCCTGAGTTCTTTGAACCAGTCTAGCAAATTGATTGAACTAAAAAAGGCAATTGTGAAAACCTCAGCTTGAAGCCAGTAGGTCAGAAGTTCCAGAAGCCTAGACTTGGGACTGATGTCTGCAGTGGTAGGCAATCTTGGGGACTGGGCCTTCAGCCTGTGGGGTCTGATGCTGCCTCCCGGTAGACAGTGTCAGCACTGAATTGGGGGACACCCAGCTGGTGTCTGTTACAGAACTGATTGCTTAGTTGCTATGTGGGGGAAAAACTCAGAACCATTTAATCACAGATAGTCACAGAAATCTTCTGTGTTTATTGTTGTTGAATGAGAAACTAGCAAAAAACAGTTTCAGTGGATTTTTCCACAAACAGTGGTTACCTCTGGAGAGAAAAAATCGGCAACTAGGGATAGGAAGGAGAATTAATTTTCACTTTACCAAATGTGGCAGTCCAACCTATTCAAATAAATATATTGTTTTATTTTCTTTTATTTTTTTCAGATGGAGTCTTGTTCTGTTGCCCAGGCTGGAGTGCAGTAGTGCGATCTCAGCTCACTGCAACCTCTGCCTCCCAGGTTCAAGAGATTCTCCTGCCTCGGCCTCCCAAGTAGCTGGGACTACAGGCATGTGCCACCACACCAGGCTAATTTTTGTATTTTTAGTAGGGACGGGGTTTCACCATGTTGGCCAGGCTGGTCTCAAACTCTTGACCTCAGGTGATCCGGCTGCCTCGACCTCCCAAGGTGCTAGGATTACCGTGCCCAGCCAAATATATTCTTTTAAAAACAAAAGACCTATTGCCCAAGCTGTTGTGTAATCACTGCTAAGTTTTCACCTGCCGGCTATCCTTCCTTGCACCTGAGACTATTTAAATCCAACCTCACTCGTGCAGCCCCATTCTAAACGAAACTGGCTCTTCCTGTCACCTTCTTATTTCTGTTAAAAATACATTTTCCCAGTCACTTAGGCTTGGCCCCGAGTCATTTTTGTCCCTCCTTTCTAGCCTCCCACCAAACCCCCAACTCTGTGTCTAAACAACCACCTGCCTTTCCCATTCCAGTTTTTTTTAGGTTTCTGGAAGTTTTTGTTTGTTTTGAAACAGACTCTCACTCTGTCACCCAGGCTGGAGGGCAGTGCTTACTGCAGCCTCTACCTCGCAGGCTCAAGAGATCTTCCTACTTCAGCCTCCAGAGTAGGCAATAATATATTTGGCTGGGTGCAGTAATCCTAGCACTTTGGGAAGCCAAGGTGGGCAGATCACCAAGGTCAGGAGTTCAAGACCAGCCTGGCCAATATAGTGAAACCCCGTCTACTAAAAGTGCAGTGGCACCAGCTACACTACCATGCCCAGCTAATTTTTGTCTTTTGTGGAGATGGGGCTTCACGATGTTGTCCAGTCTAGTCTCCTGGGTTCAAGTGATCCTCCCACCTCTGCCTTTCAAAGTGCTGGGATTACAGATGTGAGCTTCCATGTCCGGCCTGGAATTTTTTTTTCTTAATCCTTCTGCCAGGCCAGGCACAGTGCCTCACACCTGTAATCCCAATACTTTGGAAGACCAAGGTGGGTAGAGCCCAGGAGTTTGAGACCAGCTTAGGCAACATGTTGAAACCTGGTCTCTACAAAAAATACAAAAAATTAGCTGGACTTGGTGGTGCATGTCTGTAGTCCCAATCAATACACAGGAGGCTGACTTGAGCCCAGGAGGTCAAGGCTGCAGTGAGCTGAGATCCCACTGTACTCCAGTCTGGGTGACAGAGTGAGACCCTTTCTCAAAAAAAAAAAAAAAAAAAATCCCTCTGTCATCTCCTAAGTAAGAGCCTAGTGGCTTTTGTTTCCACCTAGAATAGAAAAGTGAAGTGCTATCACTGCCTTTAGTCTTGTCCTCTTCTGTCCCAGCTGCCCCTCAGTGTTGAGTTCATCGTCCCAACACAACTAATCTCTCTGATCAAGGTGCTCCCCTATGGTGAGGCCCGTGGCTTCCCTGGGCCTGACCAGTAAGCTCTCCCACCCAGCGGCCGTGCCCTCCTCATCCCCAGGTCCAGCCTACCCTACCCTCATCGCCACCGTGCCTTGTTGCAGCCACCTGGCTGCTTCACTCCCCATGGCTGCTCTCCATTTTCCCTTTCCTCTCCATACCTTTATTAATTTCCTCCCTTGGGCCTGGAAGTTCTCACCTCAACCTAGCCACCTCCTTCATGACCCGATTTCTTCTACCCTCCCTGATCTAGATGTGGCGTCTTCCTTTGATCTATTAAAATGCCGTAGTATTTATTTTGGAGTTTTCCTTTAAATTCAAGGATTTAGGCTCAGTTATAGGGAAGAGAGAATTTCTTCATTCAGCAAATACTGAGTATCTACCCTTTGCTAGGCAACAAGGACACAGAGATGCATCTGACATAGCTCTTTCCCTCCCTGGAGCTCCGGCTGGCTCCTTGACTCCTTGATCCCTTTCTCTTTTTTTGGAGACAGAGTCTCGCTGTGTCACCCAGGCTGGAGTGCAGTGGTGCAGTGGCGCGATCTCAGCTAACTGAAACCTCCGTCTCCCAGGTTCAAGCAATTTTCCTGCCTCAGCCTCCCAAGTAACTGGGACTACAGGCACACACCGCCACACCCAGCTCATTTTTTATATTTTTAGTAGAGACAGGGTTTCACCTTGTTGCCCAGGCTCGTCTCAAACCCCTGAGCTCAGGCTATCCACCTGCCTCAGCCCCTCACAGTGCTCGGATTACATACAGCATGAACCACCTCACCTGGCCCTCTTTCTTTATAATGCTTATGAGCACATGTCTGTGTCTGTCCCAGTAATAGATTCATCACAAGCATCTTGAGGGCAGGGTCCGTTCCATTCATCTCAGCATGGTCTTACTCATAACAACATGTGCTGAGTTCACT